AATAGATCTGGGCTAGATATTCAAAAGAGTGTTGGTCAGGCCATGGTCAACTCCACTTTTAAGGAGGAAACAGATTTTGATCAAGTTGCAGGCTTGGTTTTGGGACCAAAGCTGCCTAGGGAGCCCTGTGGGAAGGCTTTTGATGAAAGAGAGACGGGAAGATGTGAGCCTGCTGATTCTAGTGGACCTCTCAGCAACTTTCAGTACCATTAACCACCATATTCCCTTGAATATGCACTCTGATGGAGATGTGGGAGGCAAGACTTAGAGGGTCAGCTTCAGAAGGTGATGCTGCAGGCTACTGCTGGACTGTAATCCAGTAACAGCCTGGATGAGAGTGAACAAACTTGACATTCAAGCCAGACCAGCTGGGAATACAATTAGTGGGTGATTCAATCAACTGGTGCCATAACCCCTAACCCTGGAAACCATGGTGTGCAACAGAGGACCCTTATGAGGTTCAAGCCACTTCCTCAGGGGCACAACCATTGGTTCAGAGCCCTACCACCACCCTCAGATTTGGAGGATGAGTCCTTCCACCTCCTCAGCCTTGCAGAAATCCCACATTGCAAAATCACGTGAAAACCATTTAAAACCCAGCTACCTCTTCCAGAGAAGTGAAGCTGGAGTCAACCAACTATGGGTCTCATCAGCCTATGTGCAGCTTCAGTTGGCTTTACTTGGAGCTGTCCAAGGTCTTGTTTTTCCTGACCTCTGCCTAAGGCAGCCTCTGACTGGACTTGCCTTGATTTGCCTTCACTTGCCATGACTTGACTGTGTTCCCTGTGACCTTGCCTTGCCTTGCTTTCACTGGACAAAACCTGCTTCTCCTGAGCCTCAACTGTCCAAAGTTGAGTGGTATTCAACTTGTTATGAAAGGGCCAAATGGAGGTCCAAGTGGCTCCTGTAGCTTAAAGTGCCCTTTTGCATACAGCTTTTGCTGATACGCCGGCTCCCTCGGCCAATAAAGCGAGATGAGCGCTGCAACCCCAGAGTCGGCCATGACTGGACCTAATGGTCAGGGGTCCCTTTACCTTTACCTTTGCTGATGGGACGCAGTTGGCACTGTGGGTTAGACCACAGAGCCTAGGGCTTGCCGATCAGAAGCCCAGCGGTTCGAATCCCCACAATGGGGTCAGCTCCCGTTGCTTGGTGTCCCTGCTCCTGCCAACCTAGCAGTTCGAAAGCACGTCAAAGTGCAAGTAGATAAATAGATACCGCTCCGGCAGGAAGGTAAACGGCGTTTCCGTGCACTGCTCTGGTTCACCAGAAGCGGCTTAGTCCTTCTAGCCACATGACCCAGAAGCTGTACGCCGGCTCCCTCGGCCAATAAAGCGAGATGAGCGCTGCAACCCCAGAGTCGGCCATGACTGGACCTAATGCTCAGGGGTCCCTTTACCTTTACCTTTGCTGATACACCAGCTGTGCCCATACTTGGGTGGCGATTGCTTGGCCTTAGTTGTCCGTGGCACTTAGCATATGGCAACGTCTTGTCCATGCAACTGCTTTTAAGGAGGTCTGGACTACAGATGTATCAAAGCAGGAATGAATAATTAACTGGGGCCATTTCTGGGCACAATTTGAAAGTGTTGGTTTTAACTTTTAATGCCTGTAATGTCTGGGGGCCAGTTTTCCAAAAATATTGCCTTCTCCCATATATACCCTACTGTCCCAACCAAGTGTAGTAAGGAAATTGAAAGTTGCATGCTGCGTATTGTTGTTTATGTTGATGCATTTAGTTATTAGCTTGCATTAATATCCTGTTCCCTGTAAGCCACTCAGTGGTCAAACGTGGCCTGCAGGGGGAGGGGCAGGTAATGATCTGGCCCACCGGCTGCCTCCTGCCCCACACAGTATTCAACATGTATCTTTCTTTGGCTGAAACCAGATATGACACCAGCCACCTTTGGCATTCAAAACACATGATTGTGCGAGGCAGGAGAGAGGGACTGCATACATTCAAATGTAAGGTTCTACCATTAGGCAGGAAGAGCCTGCTGCAAAAATATAAGATGGGGGACACCTGGCTTTCCAGTAGTACATATGAAAAGGATCAAGGGATCTTAGTGGACCACAAGTTTAACACGAGTCAATAGTGTGATGCAGCAGCAAAAAAAAGCTAATGCTATTCTAGGCTGCATCAACAGAAGTATAGTGTTCGTATCAAGGAAACTGATAGCACTGCTCTATTCTGCCTTGGTCAGACCCCATCTGGAGTACTGCATCCAGTTCTGGGCACCACAATTTAAGGACTGTCTTGCCAGAGTGGTGCATGCTCTTGTTAACTCCTGCTTGGACTACTGCAATGCGCTCTATGTGGGGCTACATTTGAAGGTGACTCAGAAACTGCAATTAATCCAGAATGAGGCAGCTAGACTGGTGACTGGGAGCGGCCGCCGAGACCACATAACACCGGTGCTGAAAGATCTGCATTGGCTCCCAGTACGTTTCCGAGCACAATTCAAAGTGTTAGTGCTGACCTTTAAAGCCCTAAACGGCCTCGGTCCTGTATACCTGAAGGAGCCTCTCCACCCCCATCGTTCTACCCGGACACTGAGGTCCAGTGCTGAGGGCCTTCTGGCGGTTCCCTCATTGCGAGAAGTGAGGTTACAGGGAACCAGGCCGAGGGCCTTCTTGGTAGTGGCGCCTGCCCTCCCAGCAGATGTCAAGGCAATAAACAACTATTTTACTTTTAAAAGACACCTGAAGGTGGCCCTGTTTAGGGAAGTTTTTAATGTCTGATGCTGTATTGTTTTTGATATTTGGTTGGAAGCCGCCCAGAGTGGCTGGGGAGACCCAGTCAGATGGGCGGGGTATAAATATATTATTATTATTATTAAATATTAAATATATTATTATTATTATTATTATTATTATTACAGTGGTACCTCGGGTTACATACACTTCAGGTTACATACGCTTCAGGTTACAGACTCCACTAACCCAGAAATAGTACCTCGGGTTAAGAACTTTGCTTCAGGAGAAGAATAGAAATCGTGCTCCGGCGGTGGGGCAGCAGCAGGAGGCCCCATTAGCTAAAGTGGTGCTTCAAGTTAAGAGCAGTTTCAGGTTAAGAACGGACCTCCGGAACCAATTAAGTACTTAAGCCGAGGTACCACTGTATTATTACTACTACTACTATTATTAGTAGGAGGATGTTGACAATCTGGAACATGTACAGAGGAGGGCAACTAAAATGATCAAAGGTCTGGAAACAAAGCCTTATGAGGAACGGTTGAGAGGGCTGGCTATGTTTGGCTTGGAAAAGAGAGGACTGAGAGGAGATATGATCTCCATCTTGAAATATCTGAAGGGCTGTCACATGGAAGATGGAGCAAGCTTATTTTCTCCTGCTCTGGAGAGTAGGACCTGTACCAATGGCTTCAAGTTAAAAGAAACGAGATTCTGACTAAGAAGAATGAATGAATCTTTATTTGCGTCAGCCATTGGCCATAGCAATAAAACAACAATACGATATACAAAGAATAGAAATAAAAAGTCAATTATATAAAATAAATTTTAAGGTTTCGAATCAATAGTCAAATAGTGGATCTTATTCTGATTGCCCCAGCTAAAAACCTTGCAAGATTCTGACTAAACATCAGGAAGAACTTTCTGACAGTAAGAGCTGTTTGACAGTGGAACAGACTCCCACAAGAGGTGGTGAATGTTAGTTTCTGTTTGCCACTGAGCAGCTGCTTTGGAGTCACAAGGCTCTGTTTACATTCCAGAGACATTCCAGGCTGTTGGAAGTCTCACAGAAGAAGGGAGACGGATGTGACGTTACTGTTTTCCTGTTCCTTTGTTGTTCAGTTGCTCTCTGCTCTCACTGGGAGAGAATGTATTTTCCTTTGCTGTCTGTGTAGTTTAGAAATAAAGCATAACATGTAGCCCTAAATCTCATCACTTCCACATGCTGTTTTGGATTCTCTGCTGAATGGAATGTGCTTGAGGCCTCATCAAAGGCTCAGGTCGTTATTTATCGTTGGGAGGGCGATTCCGGAGGAAGATGAGCTTTATCATCCTGGCCGAGCAGAGTGACAGTGGACTCTCCTTCCTTGGAGATTTTAAAGCAAGGATGGCCACCTGCCATGGGTGATCTAGCTGAGATTCCTGCACTGCAGGGGGTTGGACTAGATGACCCTCAGGTTTCCTTCCAACTCCACAATTTTAGGATTCACCCTGCAGCAGCCACTTCCCAAGGCTGCCTACACATCTGGGAGCATGTCAGCAGTGGGGCAACCTGCCTAGGCTGTCCCTGTGAGCTGGAGCTCTGAGCGCTGAGGGGAGGGCCAGCCTAGGCATGTTGGTCAGCTGCTCTGCTGCTGATGGTTGGGCAGGATTGGGGATGGGCTGCCATGAGGTGAGCAAGCACGGCCTGCTCTCCTGCCTCATGTGATAATTCTTGCAATTTTGAATGCCGAATAAAGCTGCTCAGTTGTAACTTTCCTGCAGTGTTTTCCTATTTAAGCAAAAGGAGGTTTGGACCTTGTGAGTGGAGGAACAGCTAGGGTAGGAGTGAGGGAAAGCGAGTCTGCTGTAGCTGTTCTTGCTTGCCGTTTCCCCACACAAAACAGCGTCTGCCCAAAGCTGCTTTCGGTGAGAAAATGGTCCAAGTGAAACAGCAAAGCACCCCTTCCCCCACCCTCTCAGTTGTTCTTCCACTCAAACTAGCGACTTTCTAAGGCTACTTTTGGAATCTGTTTGGGGTTCTTAAAAATAGCAACAAAACTGTGGGGGGAAAGATGCATGTAACAGCATGTCATGTCCAGTTTGGTCCTAACTCAAGCTCTTAATAATCCCAGCATTCCATCCAGGGATCAGATTCTTTTTGAGATTAAAAACTGGCAACCATAAATACGCATCCCCAACAGTGGTAAAACTGCAGCGAAACTGTTTTTCCATATAATAACTTTAAACAGCTGGAAGAGCAGCGCATGGGCATGTTCTTGGCACCTGTAGGAATGTAGAAAGATGCCCCACACTGAGTCAGGCCATTTATCCAACTGGTTCATGGACAGGTCTGTAGAGCACGAGACTCTTAATCTCAGGGTCGTGGGGTTCGAGCCCCACATTGGGCAAAAGATTTCTGCGTTGCAGGGGGTTGGACTAGATGACCCTCGTGGTCCCTTCCAACTCTATGATTCTGTCTCCACTGATTAGCAATCGCTTTCCAGAGTTTCAGAGAGTGGCCTCTCCAGCAGCTACAGCTCTTTTTGTTGTTATTCCCCAATAAACTTATTTTTAGCCGGTTACCTGTAAATGATCTTGGAGAATGGCTTACCTTCCTGGGAAACTCTGTCTGCTGAGTAAATGAACTTTGTCTAACTAGCTTCCTGATAGGAGATAAATTCATGCATATACCACTACTTCTAACATGGAGATTAATTGTTGTGCCAGGAAAATAAGTGGCCTAATTTTCTTGCTGCTTGGAATTGGGATCCTCAGCTCTTTGAATCATATGATATTTTTAGGCCCATTGATAAACTTGCTCTTTCCGCTGTATGCACTTTTCAAGACAGGGAAAGCAGCTATCTCTTAACAGGGAGACTGAGTGAGCAGGGAGAGCTCAGAGTTTTTACCAATCTTCAGGGGTGTGATTGAACTGGCAGGCACCACAACTGTGGGTCTCAGATTTGGATTATTATTGAATGCAAGTGCCAAGAACCTCAAATCTATTTCTTAGGCAGAATGCAGCTAATTTGGGATTTGAGGGGATGTATCCATCCCTACTGAGTTAAAGTAGTGGAAAGTTCAAACCCTGTATTTGTTTTCATTACTAAGATTCCACACTGCAACGTATGTAATAAGAATGCATGAAAACATCCCTGGACAAATGCAAAGTACATTTGCCTCGCCACTAAATAATCACAAAAAAAGATGAGAAAGGTCTCTTAGGTTAGAGGATTAGAGTTCCTAGGCAGACTTGACCCAGGTATATCTTCAACTAAAAATTAACCATGGAATGTGGTTGGATACCTTCATGGAGCAATTATCCCTGGTTAATATTCAAAGGTTCATCGCTAACTTACTAGTTTTCATTTTTTACTTTTAAGCTTCTGCAACGGTTTCTATTTCTTCTGTCAGTGTTTGAGAGCCATCCTTCAAACTGATTATGATTGAAGAGCCAAAAAACTGTTCCTGAACTATTCTCTGCTCCTCTCCTCTCCTTCCCCAATCAGTCACAATCGTCACACTTTGCTTCTGTTTGTTCATCATTCAGCAGCCCCCTTCTCATGAAAGAATTTCCATTGCAGCTGTGTATGTTTTGCCTGCTTGTCTGTATCAGTGCCAACCGCCATGGAAACACAACAGACTTGTTTAACTTGTACTCATAACATGCTCACAACACCCAGATCATTCCCCACTTTTCAGTTTCTATGCAATATTTCAACCACAAAGCGGTGCTATTGTGAAAGCTAACAATTACCAAAAAGAGAATTGTGATTGTTCTTGTAAGCATCAGGGCTACATATATAAACCCAAATAGTTTCATTCTAGCCAACCATTCACCACCTCAACACTTCAGACACCTAGTGTTACATTGCGACATTGCCACATCACATTATTTCAACATCTTTTAATTACCAATTAATTTAAATACTTGGTGGTGTCCATTTTCCTAACCTCAATTTCTGACTATCTGATCCTCTGTCATTTGGAAGCCATGCTGTTTAGATTTCCAGTTGGTTCCATATCAGGGGGAATCTCTGGCAACTGCCCTCAAGATTTATATTTATACTATTTCTCCTGTATGTCCTCGTCTTAAGCCATAGGAATATATATATATATATATATATATATATATATATATATATAGGATACACAATCAGATGACAGTGTATCAAAATCAATAGCTATAACAGAAGATGTGGAATATATTTCTTACAATTCACTATTCAGGAAAAAATTGAAATGCAAACAAAAGCCCACTAAGTTTCAGGGAAAGAGGAATGGAGGGATGGTGAGTTTTTGTCGTTTTCCTAAAGCAACTCCCCACCTGCACTGAGTACCCCAAATCCCCCAACTCTTATCTGCCTTCAGAAGGGGAAAGATGAACACTGCTTTGTACATCTGTTTCATGGTCATTGGAGGCTAGGTCACCTATTATGAGGAGTTGGGGGCAGGTATTGCCCTCACTGCAGCAGCGCCAAGAGCAGCACTTTACTCTCCCTCCCAGAAGTCAATGGCAACTATTCAATTTTATGGGTGAATTTGAAACAGGTGCATCTAGGGACTCCATGTGTGGATGCAATGATTCTTCAACATCAACTTTATCATCTTCCAAAGCAGCTACTATATTCTGAACTTAAAAATGGAAAGCGTAATGCTGGTGGTCAACAAAAGAGGTTTAAAGACTGCCTCGAGGCAAATCTTAAAAAATGTAGTATAAACACCGACAACTGGGAAGCACTGGCCTGCGAGTGCTCCAGTTGGAGAACAGCCTTTACCAGAGGCGTCATGGACTTTGAAGAAAACTTGAACTCAGAACGCAAGGGAGAAATGTGCAAGAGGAAGGCACGCTTGGCAAATCCACACCGTGATCAACTCCCACCCGGAAACCAATGTCCCCACTGTGGAAGGATGTGTGGATCCAGAATTTGGCCTCCACAGTCACTTACGGACTCATTGCTAAAACCATGTTTATGGAAGACAATCTTACTCGGCTACGAGTGATCGCCAAAGAAGAAGAAGAAGAAGCATGCTAAACAAGCAGCCTGCCCTTAGGTACCCAAACAGTGGAGTCTGCTCCTATCTTTAGATCCCTGTCCTGTCACACCCTCCCCCCCATTCTTGCAATTGATTTTTTTACCATCTTATTAAAATGTTGGTCTTGCTTCAAGTATTTCTGCAGCTTGCAAAGCGATCTTTCAAAATGCTGTAGACCCACACCTTTCAAAACTGTTTGTAAAACAAAATAAAATAAAAGATTTGTAGTGAGAGGGACTTTTGGGAGGAACCCAAGCAGTAAGCCATTTCTTTTCATTTATAGCCGAGGAAACAGGAAACACGGGTTGTCTCCCTTTTGCAGAGTTGTGAGGAGAGACCCTGCCTCCCCCACCCCCACCCAGGGATGCATATTTGGCAAGATTAGGTGTTGCGTCTCAAATTACAAGGCGTTGATCGCAGGAGGCCACAGGCACCAGTGGAGAATGGCAGGAACCTTTCCAGTTGCGAACAATGCAAGTTGCTGGTAGCCAGCCTCTCTGCAGGCTCATTGATTTAGGATCTTCTCTTTACTGCCTTCCCTTACGCTTGGACTGAGAGTGCACTGGCGGCCACAGTTTCCCAGGCTGTGAGCACATGTCAAATGGCTAACCTTTTGGCTGTCCATATTTCTCAGGACAAGAGCTGCTTTTAATTCTAGCATTTCCTGCAGGAGTTTAAATGCAGGAGTGAGCTGTTGCGAGCATTACATTTTTGCTCCAAGCGAACCATTTTTTTTAAAAAAGTTGTTATTAATGTTATTATTATGACTACATTCTGGATGGAAGATGCAAAGTGTTGAGTGGATAAATTTCTGTACAGACTGGAGGATAAGCAGACAACGACAGAAGAATAAGTTTACTTAAGAAGCATCAGTGAAGGAAGATTTCCTCCTCCGTGAAAGTCGACCCAAGCAGTGAAAATGATGATGATGATGAGGCAGGTACAATGTGTAAAAATATGGAGCGTAAACATTAATTCATTAATAGGGGGAAATATATATATGCATGATTTATTATATGTGTGTGCAATTTCTGATTGATATATGAATTATATTCAGTGTGTGTTTTTGCAAAGTCTCAAAGATGGTGATTGTCAGAGTGTGATCTTCATTTTCAAAGGACATTTGTCACACCTTGGGCTATAGAAATGAGAAATAACTCTTGTGACAGAGTCATTTCTGACACTGGGCATCCTAAAACCTTAAGGATGAACCAACATTCACCTGTTTGATATCCATATGAGGGTGGGCGCTGAGAAGCTGGGGCTGCACATGAAGCAGACCGGACTGATATAATGCTCAGCAGTAGAATGAGCTACGGTGTCATACTACAGATTTGGGGTGGCATTTTCAAATGTTCCCTATATAAAAAATTTCCCTGACAATAGAAAACTGGCATAAAGCTTTTAGCCCAGATGTCTGCCTGCTGTGCTGGTGTTTGTTTCCATGGTGTTTGTAGCATAGGGAAACAATAATAATAATAAAAAAGTCCTCCATCTGAACTGGTGGAGTCCTTTTTACCATCTCATAATCCCCTGCATGTGCAGATGTGAACAACCACCTAAGCGAAACTATTTTAAGCCTGTTGCTTATGAAAAGTGCAAAAGTACAGGCAAGGAAATTAAACGGAAGGGGAGACAGAAAAGATCTACTGACGGTTTGCTTAGACAATATATTATTGCAGTAACCATAGCACTCTCAGTGTACTTGAAAGGGTAGAGATAAGACAAAAAGACTGATCTCTCTCACGAGGAGTCTACAATCTAAATGGTAAAGAAATGGATAAAAGTTTTTCATGGAAGAAGGAAGGAAAGTATGCTGATCCACATTATTCTGTAAGGATGCAAACTGCACAAACTTTCTGTAGCATCAACAATGGGTGGGAAAGTTTGCTCAGAACAAATCGTCCTCTGTGACCTCAAAGATGTTGGTTGTAACTTGCTCTTCACGTTCTATTTTAATCTGGCTGAGGAAAGAGCACGCACACACACACACACTCATACCCGATGATTTAAGCATGTATAAATTTAGAGGGAGAATTAAAGAGGCATGCAAGCTAAAATTACCATCTCCATTCTTAGTGAGATAAATTCAAGGAAAAATGAGGCAGCAAAGTGGCCTTTGCTATTGATGATGAGGAATTCACTCGTTTTGCACACTCCATTTTCATAATGGGTTCACCTACCTATAAAACCTTGAACATTTGCCTAGTTTTGGTGAAATATGTATCAGTAGAATTCATTTGACTTATAGGCATTAACAAAAGAGGAGAAAAAGCCAGCCACCAGAAGCTGAAATCTGATTTGTAAGAGAGAGTGAGAAAGTTTCCTGTATTCCTCTCACCCCTCACCCCCAATATTTTGAATGCCTTTATATGATATGTGCAGAATCTACCAATTTGCAGCCTCTCTGTGCATTTTTGTAGATGCAGGTAGGTACCTGTCAATATAGAGATGTTAAGGCTGCAATCCTATACCCACTAAAATGGAGGTAAACTCCATTTAATCTGATGGAACCGTTTTGAGTAGACTGGGGCTGTCAGTGGCATCTCTTCTGAGAATTAACAGTGCAAATCTAAGCATGTCTACTGAGTATTCGGTAGGGCTTTCTGCCAGGTAAACGGGCTCAGGATTGCAGCCTCAACGTTTGAAAGCCATGCTAATAATTCCAGGCTGCAGTGCAAGTCATTTCCTGGTAGCCTTGCACGCACGGGAGACGGGCCTCTAGGCTGCCATCCTGCACGCACTTACCTAGGTGCAAGTCTCCTGGGACACAGTGGGGATTGCTTCCGAGGAAACGCACCCCGGCCAAGCTTTGCTCATGCCAACTCCACTTCCCATCCTTGTAAAACATGCCAGTCGAGGGCTTGAAATTACTTCTAATGCCCGGGAGCGCAAGAGGAGCATCCAAATGCTGCCCCTCCCTCTCCCCCCCCTAAAAAAAGCAGCCTGAGAAAGAAAACTTCGCCCCGAGAGTTTCTTGCTGGTGTTTCCCGGCGCGGATTTGCAAGGGGCCGGCGCCGGAGGAGTGCGCGGCAGCCAAGGGGTTAAGGCGGCGAGCCATCTGGCGGAGCGGGTTTCTTATAGCCGCGCAGATTCAGGTTCGCGGGCGCAGAGGTTGCAGCTCGTCTCTCGGCTCGTAGCCGTGCAAGTTGCGGGGGGCCCCTGCTGCTGCTGCTGCTGCTGCCGGCGGGCGAGCGCGCCTCTCCAAGGGCCGGATCCTGCGCAGCCAGCTCGCTCTCTTCATGTCGGCTTCCCTGCAAACGGCCCCGCGGATGCCATGCTCACTTCTGCCACGGTAAGGGGACGGGGGTCGCGGGAGGGAGGGAGGGAGGGAGGCGAGGAGGGGGGCCGAAACATCCCCACCCCACCCCACCGGCGCCCCATTCCCTTGGCCCGATGATGTTGGGCCTCCCTCGGGCACGGGGCTTGCCTACTCGCGAGTAAATGCCACGCCGGACTCGCAGCCCACGCGCGGGGCTTCCCAGGTTGGGGAGCTGGGTCCTCTTCCGAGGGAAAGCGGGATGTACGCGAGGAAGTCTGGGGGGGGGGGTCCCCTGGATTCTCTCCCCCCCAAGCTTTGGAGGAGACATCGAGCAAGCTCGGCTCCTAACAAAAGCAGGCGGGGAAGGAAGACGCGCGCGGGGGATTCCCCCCCGCCCCCCCTCCCCGTCTCTGTTACTCCAGGTAACTCCGATTCCCGCGGCCCGTTCCAGGTGTGGGTCGTCTCCTCCCTCCCCTTTCTCGAAGGCGGGGACACCCCCCCCCCCAAAAAAAAAGTCCCGCATGGCGCAAATCATTCTCCTCTCCGGGAAATCGAAGGCAGGCTTTGCGCGGCCGCGGGTCGGCGGAGTGCGCCCCGTCCTCTGCGCGGGTGCGGAGGGGGAAGAGCCCCCCGTCGGGGCGCCCGAGGGAAAGCGCGCGAGAGGAGCCTCCGCCTTCCTCCTCCTCCTCCTGCAAAGTCGCCGAGTTTCTCGGGAGCTTCTTCGGGAGACGCTCAGCCCGATGGCTTGCGGGCAGGGAGAGGCGGCGAGAGGCGAGCGCAATCCTGGCATGGTTTGGATACTTTTCAGATCCAGCCCTTTAATCCTCCCCGTTAAAATAAAACTAGGAAAGGGCGAAAGTTGGTCTGGATCTCGAAATAGCCGGGAGATGGAGAGAAGAGCGGGGGGATGGGGGGACGGGGACGGACAGACGGACGGCAAGATTTGGGTTTGAATGAAGTTTGCTGGCGGGCGGCTTCCTCGGTCACTTTGCGCGCAGCTATTTGGAGAGGCGAGCAGCGTTCCCAGCGCCTGCGATGCGGAGGCTGCGCGCTGCGCCCGCGAGCTCCCTCGCGGTATAGCAGGGGCGAGGCGCGTGCGGGAGAGTCGGACTCGATGGGTGATCTTAGGTAGGCTGTATCTCCAGAGAAGTCTTCAAACCCCCCTCCACCGCCCCCAGCATCCAGGCAGTTGGGGGAACCACGTGCGTGCAAGAAAATGCAAGCTTTGCAAAAACAATTTTTTTTATATATATAAAAAAACACCACATTCCAGGGATCCAGCTGCACTGTTGCAAAACCACAATAATGCAACGTAATCTGTAATCTCTAAACACGCCTCTTAGGGAAGAAGCGGCAATTTGGAAGAGCAGTAAACCCTTTTATAGCCTGAAGTATTTCAGGGTATATGTGTATGTGTGTCTGTATGTTGAATCTCTTTCCCGCTCCCAAAATAAATCAAAATTCTCTGCACATAAAAAAAATGGCACACCTGGGAAAAGATTAGGCTGAATCCTGTTCCCTCACCTGCTCCTTTTCTTTCTCTCCCACACACGTTTTTGTGTGTGTACAGGTCTGGTTTTCTTGTTTCTGGCAAGCTTTTGCTTCCTGTCTGGAGCGGTGCTTTCCCGACTCCGGGGAAGCTTTGCCACTGGAGTCTACTGACCTCATTATCATTATACTACCTGCAGAAAGTAAATAAGGTTGGGTTGTGGTGTCTGCCCCAGCTGATGGTAGCCTAAAGACAGGAAGACAGTGGCAGGAAACTACAGGTGGAACCGATTCTTGCTGTAGTTGGGGCTGACATGGAAGCAAAGTGAAATTGGAGAGGTATGGTGCAAATCTGGTCTGGAGCATAGCTGTCAACTTACAGATTTGAAAATAAGGGACCAGCAGCCTCGAAAATAAGGGATCAGTCGCCAAAATAAGGGATCAACAATTACTTTGATAAAATACATATTTTGTTGCATGCAAATGGCTTTAGATACCTATTAGGTCCATAAATCACCATATAGCATATATTCAACACAAAAAACAGCAACAATTTGTTGTTGACAAAGGACAGCTGGACATAGAAAGGGCCCCATTACCTTCAGTAGCTTATTTAAGGGACATCATCAATAAGGGACAGCAGCGGGACATGGCGCTGGGCTAAGGGACTGTCCCGCCAAATAAGGGACGCTTGACAGCTATGGTCTGGAGGTTAAAGTGAGCAGGTGTGCTCACTGGCATCCACCATACAGGAGGGACACACTTTCAGACTCGAATGTTTTGACACTGCTGAGAATGCTATCAAGGGAGGTTGTAGCACTTCCAAGAGGTTCTTTGGGCTCAGGCCTGCGCGGAGCGTATCTTAATGTCCCTTCTTAATGTTCAGTGCTAAGACAAGCCACGGTTGTTTGCTCATGAGGGACAGCTTTCCCTGGGCATTAGTTCTGAGAGCAGGAGGGAAGGTGGGGGTGTGGGAAGGCTAGGATACGGAGGAAGGGTGGTCTTCTTTGTAGTAAAAGCACTTAAAAGATCTGTGCAAATTTCCCCTAGGCGTGGGGAACGAACAGTGAAAGGAATGGTCCACGCTTGTAATAAAGAGGAAGGAAACATTGAATGGAAAGAGAACGTAAAGGCAACTGGGGAACAAAGGTTGCTCACATGATATATAGTGTTAGGTTCTAGTACTGAAAATACCTTTTTTATTTATAAACACTCACTCGCTAATCCTTTGTTCCCCACTAATATTCAGAGTAATCTCTCCTTGTTCCTTAAGTATGCTCTGGAAGCATATAAACCAGTTATTATCCTGATTTCATTTCAACAGTGTGGCCAAAGCAGGTATGAGTTGATACTTTCTGGGGCCACATAGGCACAGTAACATTTAGATATTAACTTGAATTTTAAGATTCTTGGGTGTATGTAGCTATATATGCTCACAGTAATATAAATATGCAAATAATAAAAGTTATTTATGACTATGTAAATAATATGACAGCTTTTAGTAGCCACCAAAAAGAAAGCCTTCAAGACCTGATTTATGCTTACAGAAAAGCCCAGTGTAGTCTTCTGGGACTGCAGCACTGTGTGTGTGTCTGTGTGTGTGTGTGTGTGTGTGTGTGTGTGTGTGTTTGTAGCCCCAACTCCACACAAAGCTAGTAAAAAAGAAAATGCACTAGATAAATTGACAGACTGTCATGTCTCCCTGACATGACATTAGTTTTCCAGAAGCAGGACATTATTTCGGATGTAGGAAAATGTTCATTCTTGTGATTCTCTCACTTAAGTAAGGACCTGGAATTCTGAAGTGGCATAGTCTTTTTCCTGAAGATATGGAAAACCCTGGGGGAAAAGTGTCATGGTACGTTGGAAAATAATAGGCATATTTTATTCTTTCATGCAGTGACCTATTTCATCAGGTAATTCCATTGTATTCAAATTGCAGTGAATTGATTTGCAGACTTGAGTTGGGGTTCGCTGGAGGATAAAACCAGTTAAGGAGTAATCTTGAAGTTAGAGGCCTGCAATGCACGTCACTGCTAATCCTAATGTCAACATTGCTGCATCAGTCTGAGAGCCTATGTGGTATGGTATCTGAAGACTTGAATGGCAGAGATCTGGGTCCAAATTTCCAGTTAGCTACCAAGCTTACTGGATGACTTAGGCAGGTTGCTATTTCTCAGGCTAACCTACCTCATAATATTGTTATACAGTCATACCTCAGGTTACGAACGCTGTGGGTTGCACGTTTTCGGGTTGTGGACCGCGCCAAACCTGGAAGTACCAGAAGGGGTTACTTCCAGGTTTCGGCGCATGCGCAGAAGCGCCGAATTGTGTCACGCGCGTGCGCAGACGCGGCGCTTCAGGCTGTGAACTCTGCGGGTTGTGAACGTGCCTCCCGCAAAGATCATGTTTGCAACCAGAGGTATGACTGTAATGGATTCTCTGGAGAGATGATGAACAAGAGGCTGTTTGCAGGTGACCTGTGTTTAGAGGGACACACAAGGCTGCAAATGGCATTGTGTTGTAAGATGTTTGTGGTAATAATACAGGGTGTAATAAAAGGATATGGTGGTACTGTAGTTGATATCTGAGGATATAGGCCAGCTGCAGTTGCTTTTAGAGATGGTGAACTCTGGCAAAGTGTGGTAATAGAACAAGGAATAATGTATTGCTTCACCATGGAAGTATATTTTAATATATTTGCGAAGGAAGTTTGTTTGGTGATAAACAATCACTAGTACTGGAGAAGAAGGAACAAAGGGCCAAATGGGAACTTGGGCTGGTATTTAATAAGGAAGAAAACATGAGGTAAACTGGCTATGATGTCAGAATATTTTCCCATCAAAATGTGAAGGTAGAGAAAACTGTGATGTTTAAGTGCAAAGAACTGCCTTGATGGAACAGACTGTCCATTTAGCTGAGCATTCTGTTTCTAACACTGACCAGTCAGATGCTTCAAGGAAGATGATTGCCATTTTACCCCCTGCATCTGGTACTCAAAAGAAGACCACTGCTTCTGAACATGGAGATTCAGTTAGGCATCAGAGTTATCAATGAAAGTTGCATCTTCCGTGAATTTTGTCCAGTTCTTTTTGTAAAGCCATTCAAAGCAGAAATCATCTGTCTGACAGTTAAGATGTCCCCAACAGGATCACTAGTGTGGGAAGAAGCCATCATCGTAGAGGGTCATCTAGTCCAACCTTCTGCAATGCAGGAATCCGGTCCACAGCTGTCCCTGGGTGGGTTCAAACTACCAAGTTTCCGGTTAACAGCCAGACCCACTGACCCTTTGTGCCACAGAGATCTGAATGGAAGCAGCTTGTACACTGGTGTTGGTAATATATGAATTGCCCCAAATCTAGTCTTTCTCATGATAGATTTGCGTGAGTGATAAAGTATAATATTAAAATTTCACTGCAGTGTGCTTCATCGAGCATTTAACACATCTATCATCTGTATACAAAATAGCTCAAAGGAGTGATTTGTGTGTTGGACTAGGACTGGGGAGACACAGCTCAAATTTCCACTGGCCAGTGATGCTCACAGGGTGTGAGTATGAGTCTGTTACTCTCTCTGTCAGCTTCATCTACCTCACAGGGTTGTTGTGAAATAAACTATAGAGGTAGGGACAACCATGTATGCGGCATACAAACATAATACAGTGGTACCTCGGGTTACATATGGTTCAGGTTACATACGCTTCAGGTTACAGACTCCGCTAACCCAGAAATAGTACCTCGGGTTAAGAACTTTGCTTCAGGATGAGAACAGAAATCATGCTGCTGTGGCGTGGCGGCAGCAGGAGGCCCCATTAGCTAAAGTGGTGCTTCAGGTTAAGAACAGTTTCAGGTTAAGTATGGAGCTCCGGAATGAATTAAGTACTTAACCCGAGGTACCACTGTAAAAACAAATTAGGCATTTGGTAGCCTGGGTAGTAGATGGTGAACTAGAAGCTAATAGCTAGACAATATATTTACTATCTCAGCCAGCTGAAATTGGAGGGACAGGAATGTTTTGTAGGCAAAAGGAGTCAAATTTCATGGAAAGATGCACAAAGCCCACTTGAGAAGTTTTGCTCATCCTGTTAAAATGCCCCAGGCTCCCCTCAAAATCCCTTCAATTGCTTTGCTTGAATCCACCCCCTGCAGTTCATATCAGAACTTGCTTCATTGGCAGCCATAGTTCTGTTCAGGAGGAGCAGGTACTGGGTTTGAGGCACAAAGTTAAGGCAGTAATTTCCAAACAGTGTGATAGGGCACACACTAATATCTGAAGGGTCTGGCCTAAAGGTCTGCCGCATATTTCCACTGTGCTGCTGGTCAGAATGGGGAACCCCAGAGCAGCATTGATCCTCGCTCTCCTTGCAGTGATGTTGTCCCAAGGGAGCCATGGTATTCTGTGAGGCAGCTTGCGTTGCAGCTGACCAGTGCAGTGGAGTCCCAGAAGCATCCTCACTTTTCCAAAAGCACTTGAGCTTGGATTGAATGGAAGGGAGAGCAGGACATTAAGAGACAGTATTACGTGAGCTGTCTTGAAGATGCAAGGAGAATGCCTGCCTATTTCCAGGGTGGGGTGGGGTTGGGGCAGAGCATAATACTGTAAGAGTTCACCATGTGTTATCAGGAACAAGAATCCAAACCACCCAAGTGAAAATGTGCAACTCCGTTTCTTGATTTTGTTGTTTAGTCATGTCTGAATCTTTGTGACCAGAGCACGCCAGACACTCCTGTCTTCCACTGCCTCCCGCAGCTTGGTCAAACCCATGTTCGTGGCTTTGAGAACACTGTCCAACCATCTCATCCTCTGTTGTCTCCTTCTCCTTGTGCCCTCCATCTTTCCCAACATCAGGGTCTTTTCCAGGGAGTCTTCTCTTCTCATGAGGTGGCCAAAGTATTGGAGCCTCATCTTCAGGATCTGTCCTTCCAGTGAGCACTCAGGGCTGATTTCATTCAGCGTGGATAGGTTTGATCTTCTTGCAGTCCATGGGACTCTCAAGAGTCTCCTCCAGCACCATAATTCAAAAGCATCAATTCTTTGGTGATCAGCCTTCTTTATGGTCCAGTTAACCCGCAGATTTATGCTTGGAACCTGCTAGTTCAGACCAGCGTGGCGTTATTAACAACAGACCACTCAATAGGCTGCTGGGAGAGATTTGCAATGTATTTTGAGGGCAAAATCCCCCGGATCTGTGCCAAACTGGAAGCCACAGCTAATAGACGTCCTTGGAGCACTGACTAGTTACAGACTGTGGTATTCAGTTTCGGTTGTTGTGGATGCTTGCAGAAGTAAGGTCAGATAGAAGCCCTTTTGATCCCTTCCCATAATGGTAGATGAAATCTAGTAGGGTAGGGATTGATTGAATGGATGGGTCTGTGGTTTAGTTCAGGCATAGCAAACTCTGCCCTTCAGATGTTTTTGGGACTACAATTCCCATCATCCCTGACCACTGGTCCTGTTAGTTAGGGATGGTGGGAGTTGCAGTCATAAAACATCTGGAGGGCCGAGTTTGCCTCTGCCTGGTTTAGTTAATGCCTTTCTATGGGAGGGATTTATGCCCAGCCCTCCCTGGGCCCAGAGGTTTTAGAAAACTACTACCCAGTCTTTAATATTCCCTTTCTGGGTAAAATGAGGGGGTGGGTGGTGGGCAGCCAGCTGCAGGTGTGCATGGAGGAAACAGTTTATCCAGACGCATCATCACTTGGTTTCAGGCCTAGTTTTAGCACCGAAACAGCCTTGGTTACCCTGATTGATGACCTTTATCGGAAGAGAGATGCAGGGAGTGGAATCCTGTTGGTTTCCCTTGATATCTCAGCAACTTTTGTCACCATTGACAGTGGAATGACGCAGGTGGTTGGGAGTTTTGAGGCCTGATGCAATAGTGGTTCCACTCCTACCAGCCCCATCCCTTCTGGAAAGTAGCTCAAGGGGCATGGCCAGATAATAATGGTTCATTTGGAGGAATTCTACCAAAACCCACATCTGCAAGGGGCCCCAGATGCTTAGCTTTTTAAATATATAATTTAAGTCTCTAACACCACTTTGAGGTTTTTTACAATCACATGAAAGAATAAATAACACCCCCCCAAAATCATGTCCACTTGCTGTCATGGCTGGCAATGTCAACCTCTCCTTTAAGCAGGCAGGTGAGAGGACAAAGTAGTCTGTATAATGCAAGCTTCTTACTCCTTCCTTCCCTCCCCACCACCCGCTTAAAGCAGGAGCCTGGAGCTGCTTCAGATAGCACTTTTGCCAAACGCTTTAAGAGAGCCCCATTGCTCAGATGAGAGTGCGGAGATTGTCTTGAAGAGCTTTGCAGAAGCATTCTTTGAAGCAGCCTCCCTTCTGTAAACATCGCTTGAGCAATGTTTACAGGAGGGAGGGGGGAGGCTGCTTCAAACAGTGATTTTGCAAAGGGCTTTCAGACAGCCCCCTGCACTCCCGCTCCTGTTTGAAGCTCCAGAGGCTCACACAGGGGTGCGAGCGCTGTCTAACCTTGAAGGAACTGCAGGTTCCCAAGCGCCCAGAACCTGCGCAAGGGATTTTGAGAGGTGGGTGGGGCCCCCCACCTGTCAAATTTGGCCTGAGAGGCCAGTCCTGATAAGGATCTGGTCTGTGGAGCCAAAAAGGATCCCCACCCCTGTTATGAAACAAAATGTGCAGGCAGCTATGGGATGAGTCAGCCTGGCTGTTCTCCACCCACCCCTATAGGTGCTTTTGGCCAATGAGTGAAAGCAGAGCTGTGATTGACAAGTGAGTTTTTTTAGACACTGGGCTATAGGAATCCCTCCCTGGGGCACTAAAGAGTTGCTTTTTCTTCCTTCCTTCTAGTGCATTTTTCTTTCCTGCTTCCAATTCCTTTTAGAATCCTTGCAAAATCTGTACTGTAGTTTGTCTTCCCTCCCTTGCTAGCAACCAAGATTTGTCTTTCCTGTGCTGGGCTTGTCTGAAATCAGGTGCTCACTAGAAGCTGTTTTCTGCAGAAACTACTGCACATTAAGTACGGACGGACGTTAAAGAACCTCCCCACTCAAAAGCAAATCAAAGTGTAAATTATCTGCCAGAGATTTATACACGTTCCCTGTTGTGCAGGAGCTAAAGTTCAGGTGCTCATTAAGAATTCAATGTGTAAAATAAAATAAAAACATTTTATAGCATTTAAAAATCCTGATAATGATCTCCCGTTAATGGTTTTGCTCCACAAGTACCCTTGCCTGGCAGGGATGTGTTCTTGAATGATGATAATGACTCTAACTTGCCGAGATGGAGATCGGTAAATATGTCTGGGTTTCAGAAACCTTTGAAACCTTTGTCCTTTATATATGTATATAAAGGTAAAGGGACCCCTGGCAGTTAAGTCCAGTTGCAAACGACTCTGGGGTTGTGGCGCTCATCTTGCTTTACAGGCAGAGGGAGCTGACATTTGTCCGCTCTGCAGACAGTTTTTCCGGGTCATGTGGCCAGCATGACTAAGCCGCTTCTGGTGAACCAGAGCAGTGCACGGAAATGCTGTTTACCTTCCTGCCGAAGTGGTACCTATTAATCTACTTGCACTTTTTGGCATGCTTTCGAACTGCTAGGTTTGCAGGAGCAGGGACCGAGCAACGGGAGCTCACGCCATCATGGGGAATCGAACCGCTGACCTTTTGATCGCCAAGCCCAAGGCTAAGTGGTTTAGACCAAGGTGCCACCTGCGTCCCAATATAGGTATATAGGTACTATACAAATGTAAGACTCACACCTGTTTCTCTGCCCAGTTTTGCCTTTGGCTCCACTTACCCCAGACATATGGGACACAGGTGGCGCTGTGGGTTAAACCACTGAGCCTAGGACTTGCCAATCAGAAGGTTGGCGGTTCGAATCCCCGCGACAGGGTGAGCTCCCATTGCTTGGTCCCTGCTCCTGCCAACCTAGCAGTTTGAAAGCACATCAAAGTGCAAGTAGATAAATAGGTACCGTTCCGACGGGAAGCTAAATGGCATTTCCGTGCGCTGCTCTGGTTCGCCAGAAGTGGCTTAGTCATGCTGGCCACATGACCCGGAAGCTGTACGCCGGCTCCCTTGGCCAGTAAAGCAAGATGAGGGCCGCAACCCCAGAGTCGGCCACGACTGGACCTAATGGTCAGGGGCCCCTTTACCTTTACCCCTGACATGTAATTCCCCCCAACTGGAAGGTTGGTTATGCGCATAGCTGTCAACTTACAGATTTAAAAATAAGGGACCAGCAGCCTCGAAAATAAGGGATCAGCAGCCAAAATAAGGGATTTTCCAGGCACAGGTATGTTCAGCTTCTGAGCCCCTCTGAGCCAAAGGCAGAAAGCCCAGCCAGCAGCCAAACGAAACCTCAAGCAGTGGTTCCCACAGTGCAGCAACCCAGCAAAGGGGATGCAGCAAGGAAAACCACCGTCACCTCTCCGCTGGGAAGCGCTGAGCAAAGGCGAGTCCCCAGGCAACACGGCCGATTTGATCGGCACAAGGCATGCAAGCTCCACCCCCCAGTTGTTCTTAGACTCCTTATTGGGTGAGCAACGCAGCCAAGCAACACAGTTGGAGCCTCCCTCGTCCCTGGCCGGCAGGCAGGGAGGGAGAGGAGCTGCTTCCTTTGAAACGCGGGAAATTTAAGGGACATCATCAATAAGGGACAGCAGCGGGACACGGCACTGGGATAAGGGAGTTTCCCGCCAAATAAGGGACGGTTGACAGCTATGGTCATGCGGGAATGCAGTCCTTGGGCTGAGAAAAATGTCCCATATCCCTGCTCTAGCAAAACAGTAAGGTCTGGAGGTTCCATAAGGAACTACAGGACCGGGATAATATGGGGTCATGTCTGCTAGTCCCAGATACTTCATCATTCCCACATAGATTTGGCCCTGAAAGACCGAGGGAAAGGTGGGCCCATGGAGGATAGAAGCATCTGCTTGGCTTCCAGTTTCCCAGCTTTGTGGAAAGAATTGGCTTGAGCCAACATGAGAGACGCTTAACGCTCATCTTAAATTGGCAGTGTTTTTTGTTCGTTGGGTTTTTTAGCTCTTGTTTTTAAAGGAAATTTATGGAAATACTTGGCTTTGTTTAGTGTGTAGGGGGGGAGCTCAGGTTGGCTGGGGTGTTTTGGGGTGCAGATTTTATTGTGTAGTTTCCAAATTTTGCTTGTATGCCTCAAACGTTTGCTGAGCCGCTGCCCCACCCCCGCTATCCTATTCCCAAAGGAGTAGGCATTGTACTCAGCATCCAGTAAGTGCTCTCTCTCTCCCTCCAAAGACTGTAATCCTGGAGGAGGAAAAAAAATAATCAAATATTAATCTGTGATTGTGCCGCCTTATTTTGTCAATAGTTTCCACCCACCCTTGATAAGGTCTAAAATGTGTATCACTTAGAAAGCTATTATTCTTCAGATTGTGCGGTAGGGTTGGGAAAGACTGGATGGTAAACAAATCTCAAGTTCATATTTCTTTTGCCATGTGCTCACAAGGTGACATTAGGCATGTTACCACTCCTTCAGCCTCAGTCCTACATCTGCAGGGTTTTGTAAGTATTGACGCTTTGGATGGTCTAGGGAAGTTTTTAATGGTTGATGTTTTAATGTATTTTTAGCCTTCTGCTGGAAGCTGCCCAGAGTGGCTGGGGAAACCCAGCTAGATGGGCAGGGTAGAAATAATAAATTATTATTATTAAAATATTAGATATCATTATTGGTCTGGACAATTGTTTTTTCTCCTTATGAGATGCTCTTCTTGGTTTTATTTCCTACCAGCTAAACAGCATTTTGGTTAGTCATTTTAGATCTGGAAATAGTTCAGGAGGACTTCAATGTGCCAAATAGCATACAGGATTGCATCCTGAAACTTCGCTGTAAATTAAATTCATTTGCTTGCCTGTTAATCAGAATTAACCACTTCCTTAGTGCCATCAAAATACCTACCTTTGGTATGTGCTTTTGTCTAAGTTTTTTTTTTAATTTTTGGTAAGTCTTGGTCTATATTTTGTCAGCTCTGTCCAGTCATTGGTCTCCTGATGCTCAGCAAATGCATGGAGGGAAAGCAGGGGCACAGATGCTGTCCTTGCCACAAATATTCCCACTGGCTCTGTTAAGTTGTGGGTGAAGATATCAGACGACACAGCGATTCTTCAAACAGCTCTTGTTTATTCACAGGCCAGAACAGAACTGAACTGAAGGGTTCAGTCAGCCTGCTTATATAGAGCTCCAGTACAACGTAACTGTAACTGTAACAATTTTCTAAAACTATCCAATCACTGAACGTCACTTTCGATCCCTTATTTGCATAACTATCTACAGTATCCCCCTGCTGGCCCAGGGTGAGAACTTCAGTACATAACAGGCTCCACTTCAGATCTCTGCATACTGAATGTGAAGACCTGCAGGGGTATTCTAAGCACTGAAGATGTTCAGAATCCCTCCTTAGACCTTTATGCTGACCATGCAAAGATTGGGAGTGGAACAGGCAAGGCTGTGGCCTCTCCTGCTTTATGTGATCTTTAAATACAAGTAGACCTAATGGCAAAGTAGGTCTTTTTCTCAGAGCAACAGAATTTAGTTTGACTTTCTTCTTCGTGGTGCACTAAAGGGCTCTATTTTTGAAGCAACCCACAATTCTATGCTAGGTAAAATGGTTGGACTGTTCTTCCCTCGGACTTCCGGGGTGGCGCCATCGGCAATGGCGGACTCCCTTTGATATGGAGGGACTAGCTCCACGCGAAACGGGTCTTTTCCGCTACGGCGAAGCGGGGACCCATTCAAAAATCACAGGCGGATGAAGCCTGTGACCATGGGACTCGGCGGGCACCTTTAGCGCCCCCCCAACCCGCAAAGGAACCCACTAATGGGCTCCGGAGCGAAGAGGGGCAAGTGGCGCGGTGCTGAGAGTCAACTGCTTCTTCCGTGGAGCGAAGCCGCACAGCCGTTGCCGGAGAGCGCTGCCTTTTTCCTGGGACAATTTGGCTTCTAAAATAATCACCCGTGAGTACTTAAATTTCGGACAATTGGACTTTAAATAAGGACTTGCGAGCAGAAAGGAAAATTGGACTTAAAAGTTTACCTCAATTTGGCACTGAAACGGGAAGGTCTAAACAGGAAGTCAGCCTTCCGTTTCTTTGTAGATAGATTAAAGCAAAGACATCACAAACTAGAGCTCAGAAAATCGCTTGTAAAAGATTAACTTTCATCATTTAAAATTGTTGAACCCCCTTCGGAAGCAGGAGAAGAGGGGGGATTTTTTCGGACTGTTTAAACCTGCAGAAGTGAGTGTAAAGTAAAGTAACTTTCCACTGTCCTGATCCTGGAGCGGGGTGTCAGGACTGACGTTTTTTGAAGCTCATTGACCAGAGACAAACATTTTTGACAGATAGCTATAAGAAGAGAAACATTGATTCCATTGTTCCCCTTCGCATTTTAAAGGAACAAATATTGACAAAATATCTGAAAAAGGAAACTTTGTTGTTAGACTTGTCTTTAAAAGAAAGAACAAATAGAAGTTTTCCCCTAGAGGAGACTGTGAAACTGTAACCAACTCCGGGAGCTTGCAGCTGTTACAGATTACAATCGTGGGAATAGACTCTGACCTTGCAGGACAATGTATTCAGAAGCTCTGTTGTGTGCTTTCTGTAAAACAAATGCCCTACTGGAACAGCTACATGAGAAGACGGACTTGATGACTGATGCGATCAGAATTTTTGAACAGGCAGTGGGAAACTATATGGAGCCCACCCAGGAATTAAATCAGGAGTGTGCCCTGACAGAACAGATGAGGGAAGAGGATGTTGCTGAATCTTGGGCGCCAGAGATGGAACGAGCTGTGGCCCAGCAGGAACATGAGCTTTTGGATTTGACAAATGAACTTGGAAAAAGCCAGATTTGGAAAGATAAAGTTTGGTTTGGTTTGGAAATGGGGGGGTTGGATAGACCCCCCTATGCAGGGATGTTTGGACTTTTCAAGTCTGGCAATGGGCCGTGAGATGTTTGGGGTTGTGGGGGCTCTTAATTTTGGAGGGATTTTGAAACATGTTCTTAAATACCACATGGAGTTTAGTGTGGACTATGGAAAAGGGGCTGATTTGTCGAGAAGGGTCAAAAACATTGTTAAGCTGGAGTTCCCACGAGTGAAAGGAGCAGGAGACAAAGGAAAATACAGCTATAAATATGAAGAAGAGCCGCGGAAGGGACATGGAAGGGACTTAAGGGCCTCGGATACAAGGTTACCAGGTTAATGCGCTAGATCGATGGGATAATAAGGACTGACAAAACCCGGGACCAGGAGGAAGGGATGCTGGATGAAGATTGGATTGTTTTTATTTCTTTTTTTTTACTACTAGGATTGTTTTATAAAATTGATGAATGTTAGAAAAATGTTGGAACGAAATTACTTGGCTTTAGCAAAAATGTTTAAATAATTATGTAAGAATATTATGGTTATGAGAAGTTGGTAAAAATAAGATTTAAGTTTTAAGCTTTAAGGTTCTTTATAGTAAGATAAGATTAAAATAGATTAAGGTAATGTAATGACAGAATATTATGAAATATGGAAAGGATTTGCTGCGATAATTAATAACTAGGATACAAAAAAAGGGAGGAGGAGGAGGTCAAAGAAAGAAGGTAATGACAGTTGAGGATTTGAGAATGATGGATTTTTTTTGAGTGTTTGTGGTGTATTTTTGTTTTTTGAATTTGTATTGTTTGATGTGGTTTGTTTTTTCTTTGTTTTTTCTTTCTCTTTTTCTGCTTTGTTCTCTTTTGCAATTCTAAAAAAATTTCAATAAATATCATTTAAGAAAAAAAAAAGGACTGTTCTTCCCTAGAGCACTTTAGTGTTGCTGGAACATGCCTATCCCATAATTTGACCAGGATGCTCTCCTCGTCTCCACCAGGAGCTGTGAATTGAGTATTGTGGGCCAAGGTAAGGTTAAACAGGTGCCCTCACTACTACTGAAGGCTTAAAAAAAATTTCCAGCAGGCATTCTGATTTTAATAGTTTTACAAATAATTTTTTATTAGTTTTTACACATATTTTCCTGCATAACATCCTTTTAAACATCATTTTGAATTTTTTGGCTATCACAGCCTGAGACTTCCTTCAACCTCTACTGATGGTTTTCTAAAGTCTTTCTAATTATGCATTTTGTTACTATAGTTATTGCCATAAACTCAAATTTGCAATACATCTATTCTTAATTCTCTTCACAATAATTTATAAATTACTCCTTACAAAACTTCTTTAAAACCCTACAAACGATGTCAATTGATTACAATTGCTTTCCAGATATGTCAAAAACTTCTTCCATGCCTTTAGGAAAGTCTGGTCCTGCTGGTTCCGAATTTTCCCTGTTTTTAATAGTTTTAACTCATTTTTTGTTTTCATTGCATCGAGCTTCTTGTGTACCACTTAGCAGTGTTAGAAACTCAGATATATCAGCTAGGTGACAAATGGGTCCTTAAACCAGGGTTAAAGTCACCAAAACGGAATGTCTAGTTGCCATTTTGGGGCAAGACGGCTCTAAAGTTTTATTTTCCAAATGATGGACTGACTGATTATCAGACAGTATATATGTGGACTGTCACTGGATAAAGGGACTTTTCTTCTTTAAGTTCTCCAAGTTCTTAACTTAGCTCAAGGTTGTCACTTAAGCTAGATGTTTAGGTGACAACTTTCAGCTAAGTTAAGAACTTGGAGAACTTAAAGAAGAAAAGTCACTTTATCCAGTAACAGTCCACATATATACTGTCTGATTCCTGCCTCTTTTTCTTAATTCTTCTTCCACTGTGGTCTATGATTAAATGATTTTTGCAGGTTTTTGTGGTGCTTCAAATACATATATCGGGGGGGTAATTATGACTCTAGCATACTACCTTGAACTCTTGTTGTCGTAAAGGTAAAGGGACCCCTGACCATTAGGTCCAGTCGTGACCGACTCTGGGGTTGCGGCACTCATCTTGCTTTATTGGCCGAGGGAGCCTGCGTACAGCTTAGTCATGTGGCCAGCATGACTAAGCCGCTTCTGGTGAACCAGAGCAGCACACGAAAATGCCGTTGACCTTCCCGCCAGAGTGGTACCTATTTATCTACTTGCACTTTGATGTGCTTTTGAACTGCTAGGTTGGCAGGAGCAGGGACCGAGCAATGGGCGCTCACCCCGTCACGGGGATTCAAACCGCCGACCTTCTGATCGGCAAGCTCTAGGCTCTGTGGTTTAACCCACAGCGCCACCCACGTCCCTTGTTGTCTTACCCACCGACAAAATGTCACATGTAAGCTGTTTTTAAAAAAATCGAATTTAAAGTTACAGATAGAAAGATAGATACTGCACATATTAACAATTCTGTCTCCAGCCTTAGCTCTAATGTTAAAAAATGCTGTTACTGTTAATAGCTATTCCCTGGGGCAGGGGGCAGATGTTGAGAGAGTGGAGGGACAAGAATATTGCAAAGTTCCTCAGGGGTCATTCCACATCAAATCAAGGCAAAAAACAAGGGGTTTGTCACCCGCCATCCTGAAGGACCCATCTCCCCTCCATTGACTCCTGGCCCGTAGAGCCCCTAGACAGTGGAATTTGCTGAGACGGAAACCCATAAAACTGCAAAGAAGTCTCCTTCTCATCCCAAGGCTGGGGTCACATGTATCACATTGCAGCAGAGGTGGGGGCCCTATTGCAAGCCGAGGGCCACATTCTCTCTCGACCACTGGGGGAACATGCCAATGGGAAGGTAGCCAAGACACAAGTAAGACATGGTTAAAGTAAAGGCACCCCTGACCATTAGGTCCAGTCGTGGCCGACTCTGGGGTTGCGGCGCTCATCTCGCTTTATTGGCCGAGGGAGCCGGCGTACAGCGTCCGGGTCATGTGGCCAGCATGACTAAGCCACTTCTGGCGAACCAGAGCAGTGCATGGAAACGCCGTTTACCTTCCCACTGGAGTGGTACCTATTTATCTACTTGCACTTTGACGTGCTTTTGAACTGCTAGGTTGGCAGGAGCAGGAACCGAGCAACGGGAGCTCACCCCATCACGGGGATTCGAACCGCCGACCTTCTGATCAGCAAGCCCAAGAGGCTCTGTGGTTTAACCCACAGCCCCACCCACGTCCCATAAGACATGGTTACCCACCCACAAACCATGTGCACCCACACATGTGCACAAACGTGCCATCTCTCCCCACCCAGCAATTCGGGTTGAAAAACATATTTCACATTTTGAAGCCTATTTGCTCATGTGGTGGCATGTGATCTTCCTGGAGCTTGCAGCTGGGGAAGGAGGGTTATTCCTTCCCCCTCCAGCTGCACTTTCCAGGAAGAACATTCCACCCACCCCCACAATTAGGCGTGAACAAATTAGACTCCGGGAACCAGCAGATGACTTTTTCCCCCAAGCCTAATTGCAGTGTGAGGGCAGTTTCGGGGTGTGTGCACGCAGCGAAGCGGGAGGGGAAGGCGAACATTTGCTTCTTCATCTTGAGGAGTGGATCATAGACCTGGAGAGCTGGAGGAATCTCAGCTAAAGCATCCATGAAAGATGACCATCCAACCTCTGCTTAAAAACCTCCAAGCAAGGTCCACAATCTCTCGAGGGAGTCTGTTGCAATGGCAAACAGCTCTTCCTCTCAGAAAGTTCTTCCTGATGTTTAGTCAGAATCTCCTTTCTTGCAACTTGAATCCATTGATTTGGGTCCTAGCCTCCGGAGCAGGAGAAAACAAACTTGGTCCATCTTCTTGCTGTGAGCTAGATGGGAAGATGTCATGGGCCACATGCAGCCTGTGGACCAATGGTTTCTCTGCATTTCAATAAGCATGACATGACTGCATCTGCGGCTTGTACGTGTGGCAAATGTATTTTGGTAGAAGGTAATTGGGGGACGCGGGTGGCGCTGTGGGTAAAACCTCAGCGCCTAGGACTTGCTGATCATATGGTCGGCAGTTCGAATCCCCGCGGCGGGGTGAGCTCCCATCGTTCGGTCCCAGCTCCTGCCCACCTAGCAGTTCGAAAGCACCCTTAAGTGCAAGTAGATAAATAGGTACCGCTTTATAGCGGGAAGGTAAACGGCGTTTCTGTGTGCTGCGCTGGTGCAGGCTTGCCAGAGCAGCTTCGTCATGCTGGCCACGTGACCTGGAAGTGTCTCCGGACAGCGCTGGCCCCTGGCCTCTTAAGCGAGATGGGCACACAACCCTAGAGTCGGACACGACTGGCCCATATGGGCAGGGGTACCTTTACCTTTACCTTTATTACTAAAAATGCTCTCTTTTTTTGCAACTCTTAATTATTTCAGCATTTGTTATTAGATTTCCACCCACTATCACTGCTGAAATAAATGAGCATTTGTTTAATCAACAGTGGTCTTGTTACTTCATGTAGCTTACTAGTTATCCTAAACAGTTTATTTCCTACATTGGTGTTTACTATTTTGCAACAGTTCTCCTCTCTGGTTATCCTCGTTTTTGGTTCCAAGTTATTCAGTAACCATCTAATTTTTCCTTATAAGCCTTTCCCTCCTGGTTTCTCTTCTAGGAAATGCCTGCAATTTACATTTATAAAAGTCAATATTTAAGCATTGCACTTACAATATCCCATCTTTATTGTGCATCAGCAATGGTCTATTGAGCACATTGGAAGTTGTTCTGTGCAAGATTTGTTGAAATGAACAGCAGCTGCACAAGAGGCCCGATTCAGCAGTATATATTTCTAGAATGTTTAAATTGTGTTGCTTTTGATTTTATGTCACTTGAATATTGCTTAATTGATATAATGATAGGCTACTTTGAGAGATTCCTAAGAAGCAGGGACAAAATGTTGTTAGGTAAATATGCAATGTTGGAGAACTTTGTGAGGGATCAAGTCTATTACAACAACAACAACAATCTTTATTATGGTCCAGAGACCCAACAGATCTATTAAGATCCTTTGAACAGTAAATAGATTTGCAACTTTCAGTTCTGATGGCACCTGTGCATTTATCATAACGTACAGTTTGAGCCAGAGGTTTTTTTTCCTCCAAACCATTTTCATATTAGAAACTCATTTCTAGTATTCATTTCCCAGAATCATATCCAGGACAACTATTCCCCACTACATATTTTTTTTTATTTTTTTTTGCCATACCGCCATACAGATTTTGCCTGGTTGTGTTTTATATTATTTTCTCTCATATGTATTTGTTTGGATTTTTTTCCAGCCTAGAATGTTTGATTTTCAGCCATATTTTTTTAACCTTCCCTGATCCGTTTGTCTTGCTGTTCTTCTGGTTATTGCCCTATTGTTTACGACGTGTCCCAGATTAATGCAGTCTGTAAATTTTAGCTATGTTCCATTGACCCTCGTCACATTGAAATAATTCAGCATCTTGTTAAAACAAATACCAGTGGAACTTCTGATACTTGTGGTGTACCCCCAACCACTCTCCCTGTCTTGGGACGTTATTGTTTTTCATTACTGCGAATGCTTTAGTGCTGCCCATCATTTGAGTGTTGAGTGGGTGGGTGGGTGCATTGCAGCATTAGAGAACTTGTGTCTGGGGTTGCATTTGTCTGAAAGCTGCATTTTATTACTTTAACAGCTTCCATGCACCCACATTGCCTCCTCTTCCCTCCAGACAAACCCTGTTGTAAACTGAGATCATTTTTTCTTGCCTTTGGGTATGGTCATGTCATTTTCCCTTTTTGAAAATAATATTTATTACTTTTCCAACAATTTAAACACTACAAAAAAAGAAGAACAATACAATACAATACAAAAACACTACATAACACATTCAACTAAGAAAACAAAACAAAACAAAAACAGTTTAAAACACATCAAACAATTTCAATATCTTATCTTTCATTGACTTATTTCAGTGACCTCCTCACACCTCCCTTTTTGTATTCCACTTCTGTTAATTGTTTCAGCAATTCCTTTCCATCTTCCTCTGCTTTCTATCCTTTAATTATCTTAACAGATTCTTACCTTATTTTTCCCTTTAATACTCTATTAATCTATTTATACTTAGTCATTTTCCCTTTTTGAATTCCTCCACCAGCTCCCAGTTCCCCTCTACTGCCTCAGACCTCATGCCACAAGCTTGTAATCTGCTTAGCGCAGATGTTAACACCTCTGTATCTTTGTAAGCCTTTAGAAATGGCTGTCCCCTTCGTTGCTCTGTTGCCCATGTGTGCAATGGGTCTGCTTAAATAACTGTTCTATAAAATGTCCTCTTTCAGTTTGGGAAAGTATGTTTTGAGAGGTGGTGTATAAGTAAATAACTTATATTTATTTTATTAATTTGTTCAAACTTAGTACTTTGCCATCATGGCCTAGTGGGCTTTGAGTAGATTTCTTGCCTAGAAAGGTGGTGTGTGTGTGTGTGTGTGTGTGTGTGTGTGTGTGTGTATACACGTACGGTGGCTCACAACACTTCATCTCTATATAGCATTATCAAGAGACTCAAGATAGGATGCAACTGTAATTGTACTGCAGACATTGCATTGCAGAGGGTTGGACTAGATGGCCCTGGAGGTCCCTTTCAACTCTACAGTTCTGTGATTCTGTAATTCTATGAACAGGGTAACTTTTTGGATAACACTAAATAGCTGGATCCACTTCAGTCTGGGTTCAGGATTGGTTTCAGGACTAAATCAGCCTTGGTGGCTCTGGTGAGTGTCCTTCATTCAGAGAGGGATGAGGAATTGTGACCTATTAACTCTTTCTGATTCTCTCAATGGCCTTTGACCATGGAATAGTAATAATAATAATTTTTTATTTATACCCCGCCCTTCACGGTTTAAAAACCGGGCTCAGGGTGGCTAACAGCAAATATAAAACATTGATTAAAATGCGACTTAAAAACAGCATAAAACAGCATAAAATACAACATAAAATGCAGCATCAATATGAATAAAATTCAAAAATTCAGAGGCCATTTTTTTTTTGGGGGGGGGGGACCAAAACCCAGTCTGTAGACATCAAATGATCACCAGGGCTAACTGGCCAAGTTGGTCCTACTAGGGCTATCAAGGAGACCCAGAAAGGGTTTCTTCATAGAAAAGGGAAGGGAAAAGGGGAAAGAGGATCAGGCTAATTCAAATTGATGGCCAGATGGAATAGCTCTGTCTTACAGGCCCTGCGGAAGGGGATCAAGTCCTACAGGGCCCTAGTCTCGTGGGACAGTGCATTCCACCAGGTTGGAGCCATCACTGAAAAAGCCCTGGCCCTGGTGGAGGATAGTCTGGCTTCCTTAGGGCCCGGGACCTTTAAGCTATTATTATTCATGGACCTTAGGGTCCTCTGCGGGACATACCAGGAGAGGCGGTCCCGTAAGTACGAGGGTCCTAGGTGTTCTACTGGATTGCCTGGGTGAAGGCTCAACATTCTGGTGGTTCTGTTCTTACAATTGAATCTAGACAAGAGGACTAGTGGAGTGTTGTGTTCCCCATGGCATTTGTGCCATGATGTTCCACAAGCACCATTTCATCCCCAATGTCATAAAGCCCATTGGGAGTGGTCCTTAGGAGTTTTCTAGGCTTAGGAGTCTGTTTCTCCATAACATCTGAACCAGGAGTGGTTGCAAGCCATGGACCAGTGCCTCACTGCTGTGGCAAAACCTTATGCACCATATTGATCACCACGATTATCTGGAAGGGTGCTGCCAGCTGTTCCCCATGTCACAGCAGCCCAACTGGCCTCAACTGGAAGCCAGGCAGTTAGCATTGATGGTCCCATGTTGTGGAGCACTCTTCCAGCAGAAGTTTGGCAGGCTACTGACTTTCACATGTCTCTTGAAGACCTCTTATGTTGATGGGACTATGCAGCTCTTGAAAGATTATTTTTGTTCTGTTTCGTTGGTGCTGTGTGTTTTTTTTCTTTATGTGCTGTGAATGTGATATTTTACGTAAGTTAGTAGTATGAAAATACTTCTGTTAATAATAAAATTAACAAGTCTTTCCTAGAGTTGGAAGGGACCCTGAGAATCCTCTAGTGCAATGCAGGAATATGCAGCTATCCCAGATGGGGATGGAACCTGCAACCTTGGTGTTAGTAGCACCATGTTCTAACCACCTGAACTATCCAGGCTGAGCTTAGTTGATTGCATTCCTGCAAGCGTAGGGAAGCCCATGGTCCCCCAGACATTGCTGGAAAACAGCCTCCTTCCCCCCTGACTGTGGCTGATAGTACAGTAGTTACAGCCCAGCAGCTGGAGGGCTTTAATGTCTTCCTCACTTGTAAGCCACACTCGTGTGCAATATTCAACCTGCTATGTTGTTTTCGCTTTTTAAAAGCTGGTGTAGGACTGTTTACTTTGGTGCTATTTTTGCGCAGGTGATTGCAGTGTGAACAATATGCCACGGTTACCTTTGAACATGGGAGTGGTGGTGGTAGCTGGATGGACCTGTTTGGTGCTGTTCCTTTTTGCCTTTAGGGCGAGATGCAGCTCTGGGAAGCAGGTGACTCTCGCCCCCCCCCATTTCTCAGCCGGCCGTTTAAATGGTCAGCCCTAATTTCAAAACAGTCTTCCTTATTTCTGATACTTGCATGTAAGCACTAAGGCGAGCAACTGCAAGGACTTAAAAAATGTGTGACATGTGTATAGCCATGCAGAACTTTGGAGAAGGCTCAGGCGGGACTCTCAGATATCAAGCTGTGCCATGGAGACACCGGGAGACGGTTTGTGTGTTTGGAGGACCCAGAAGAACAGAGTTCAAGAGCAAGCTCCAGATCTCAGTATCTCATGCCACTGCAATATAAGGGGGAAGGGAGAGGCTGTTCCTGGAAGAGGCTGTAGTGACACCAACTTCACAATGCCCTGTGGAGGGAACCACCTGCACAGGTGTCCATGGTCACCCGTGTTTATACGAGGGAAGGAGAGAAGGTGTGGAACCACATCACCCTTCTTCAGCGCTTATGGTCACCATTGCCGCATGACATGGAATCATGCAGTGACTAGGAGGGATGCAACACAATGCTAATTGCCAAATGGGCATGAGGGACAATTTCATTTAAAACAAATAGAGGTGCAGTGATGGAAGAGTTGGAAAGGACCCCTTGGCCATCTAGTCTAACCCCCAGCAATGAAATCTCAACTGAAGTTATTATTCACTTCTATGTCACAAAGTAAAATGCTTCACTTGGGGACACTGTTGAGGTAAGGGCCAAGTTTTCCCTGACGACAATTTTTCCCAGCTTGAGGGCTGTCATACTCTCAAGATATCCTCGAAATGTACAAAGTGGCCGCCGAGGCCATATAACACCAGTTCTGAAAGACCTACATTGGCTCCCAATACATTTCCGAGCACAATTCAAAGTGTTGGTGCTGACCTTTAAAGCCCCAAACAGCCTCGGTCCAGTATACCTGAAGGAGGGTCTTCACCCCCATCGTCCAGCCCAAACACTGAGGTCCAGCTCCGAGGGCCTTCTGGCGGTTCCCTCCCTCCAAGAAGTGAGGTTACAGGGAACCAGGCAGAGGGCCTTCTCGGTGGTGGCCCTGTGGAACACCCTCCCATCAGATGTCAAGGAAATATCTGACTTTTAGAAGACATCTGAGGGCAGCCCTGTTTAGGGAAGTTTTTAATGCTTTATTGTTATTAATCTGTTGGGAGCTGACCAGAGTGGTTGGGGAAACCCAGCCATATGGGCGGGGTATAAATAATACATTATTATTATTATTATGCACAGGTCCTCCCTACAGAGAAACCTGGCCTGTCGTAATGAGGGGAATTTAAAGAGCTCAAAACAGAGTCGTAAGATCTAGCAGTCAGCTTTGTGTCCCTGAAGTCCTCTGGAATTTAAAAAAACGACTCTACTCTATTCCATGCAAACAGGCATGGTGAGACTTAGGCAGTGAGTCCCACAGAGTGGATGCTACCAGTTGGAAAATCCCTGCTTCTTGGGAGGGCAGCAGGCTCTGCGCTGAACCTTGTTTGATGCAGTGGGGACTGAAAACATTTTACTGCCTGCAGCATAACATGCATTATGCCCTCCTTAGTAAAAATATAAGAATAAACCAAATAGTTTGCATTTTGCTTCTCTTTAATTCTATCACAATATCCTCTGCTCTGGGTGAGTGGCCTTTCTTTGCCTAACTATAGCGCTGGCTCTGGTTTGATGAAGGGAAGTTGTCTCTAAGGTATTCTCCACCCGGACTAAATGCTAACTGCTACCACTGAATGATCAGTATTTTGTGTGTTTTGATTATTTAAAATTATATATAACTTGTCTGATGTCAAATTGAGCTCAAGAATTTATTTAAAACAGTAATTTCCTTCTCAACAATAAATAAACAACAGAAAACAAACAGCAACAATATTAAAGCAAGGAGGAGCTGACTGCCATTTTATTGCATTGCAGACTTAACAATTCACAAATCCCTAAGGAACATGACCAGGTCTTACCTGGTGTTGAAAAGGAGTCAAGGTTGGCGTCAGATAAATATTTTAGGGGAGGGTATTTAGAATCCAGGGCACCACCATAGAAATGGGTGTTTTTTTATCTATATATCCCAGGGTTCTGTGCAAATAATTTTTTATTCACATTAATAGTTTGTCCTTGGATAGTGAATGCTGAATTGGAGTGTAATTTTTTTGGGGGGGGGGGGAGACAATCATTTTTCCCCTCCTTTTCACATCCAGAATACTCAGCATATGTGGGACTGTACATGCAAATTGTAGGGGCTGCCTTACAGAAGTCTGTGAAGACGGGGATTCCCTCCGAACTGTTGTTATCCGGAGCTGGGGAACGGTCACTTCATTGTGTCTGATAAAATACTGTGAATGGGGAATGGGTCTTGGAATGTTTGGGGGCAGAGCGGATGCCATGGGAATGTGTATCCAATTATGTTCTATGGACTGCGCTGTGGTCTGGAATAGGGGTCCTTTCTTGTGATACAAAACATCTGGCATCCATAAAGTGCTTTCTTTTCCTTTGTCACACATGCACATGCAGTCATGCTTCTCAGTACTATGGTGCAAAATAATCGGTCGGGAGTTTCTGTGAGAAATGGATTTGGGAGATGGGGAGGGGGAGGGGGAGGGGGGACGCCCCTTCGGCAGCAAGGAGCTAAGTTACCAAGGATTTCCGAGAACTGGAAAGGAGATGGGTTTCTGCTGGAGTTTAATATGAGCATACTTTAGAGCGTCTATGGATAAGCAGCTGAGTAGAGTGACTGGATGAAGGACAGAGGAGAAATGCTCTTAGAACAGGGGTCAGCAGGGGGCCGGTCCACTGTCCCACAGACATTGTGGGGGGCCGGACTATTTTTTTTAAAAAAATGAACGAATTCCTATGCCCCACAAATAACCCAGAGATGCATTTTAAATAAAAGGACACATTCTACTCATGTAAAAACACACTGATTCCCGGATGGTCCACAGGCCGGATTTAGAAGGCGATTGGGTCACATCCGGCTCCCGGGCCTTAGTTTGCCTACCCATGTCTTAGAGGAAAGAGAGCAACGCAGGAAACTGGTTTGTCCTTTTCCACACTGTTTCATTGAGCAAAAAATTCAACTGTTACAGCTCCCTGATGTTTTTGCATGGCTATGACACTAGCATCCTTGAGTTGCTCTTCACGGACAGCAACAGTAAGTGGACATTTATCCCCATAGTCCCTGCCCCCTTTTCTTGCATTTATATTTCAATTTTCTCTGTCATGGCTGAATCCAAGGTAACGTGCACATGGTTCCTGGGCAATCATCCATCTAGAGTTCAGACCATGCCCTCACAGTGTTCAAAACTCCCATTGTTCTAGGCGCATTTTGCAACAGGGATTTTCATTAAGTTGAACAGTTTCTGTGCTCTGGGTGCTGTACTGTGCCTAAGATTTCAGATTAAAACTGCAGAGTGGAAGGAAAGAAGGACCTTTTTTCTGCCTCCCCACTTCCAGCTACTGTAGTCTCTGAAGACTGGAGAAGAGACCCCCTTAAGAATATTAGTGGGGTGGACAGGGGAAGGACTAGACCATGTGAAAAATGAACATAACATTTTAGCTGCAGTTCATTCCTTTTCAGCTTTGTATTCTTGTCATAAAGAAGCACGCCTAGACATTCAGTTGTTGTGCCCCTAACTTAGGTTTTAAGGTGCCATTTAGCTCCTGGCTTTTCTATTTCAGTTTCTAACGTTGTACCCTCAGATCCCCTAGGAGAAATGTACTCTGTCCAAGTGTGCAATCTGCTAAACTATCCCCACCATCTGCATCGGGAGAATTAAGATTGGCAAACTCTGGACTGCTCTGTGTTTTTATTAATTTAAAGGATTTCTACTCTGTTCTTTAGAGTGGCTTGCAGAAACCAGTAGTGCAGCAGTCCCGGTCGCCAGACTTAATGGCCTAAAAAAATGACATATCAAAGAGATGGGAAGAAAGGAGTTGGGGAGGGAATCTCAGGCAACAGTTCTTAAAAGTTACCATTCTTGCGATGAAGAAGAGTTTGGATTTGATATCCCGCCTTTCACTCCCTTTAAGGAGTCTCAAAGCGGCTAACATTCTCCTTTTCCTTCCTCCCCCACAACAAACACTCTGTGAGTGGGGCTGAGACACTTCAGAGAAGTGTGACTGGCCCAAGGTCACCCAGCAGCTGCATGTGGAGGAGCGGAGACGCGAACCCGGTTCCCCAGATTACAAGACTACCGCTTTTAACCACTACACCACGCTGGCTCTCAATGCATCTGAATACAGGCAACACCCCGTTTGTGTGCGACCGCTGACGTGTGCATTATGTTCAACACCGGAAGGGGGCAGGGCAGAACAGAATGGGGCAGGCTTATGCGTCTCCTGCTGGCGCACGTGGTGCCTTGAAACTTAACCCCCGTGTAACTGGGGACTAGCCTGTAGTTATGTCTAGTTATGGCTTGGAGAGTGGGCCCTCCTCTGGAGAGCCGCCATCGTCCCTGATCAGATCTGGGAGCAGAGCAGGTGACAACATTCAGCCCAAGTTGTTGTTGTTATTTAGTCATTTAGTCGTGTCTGACTCTTCGTGACCCCCTGGACCAGAGCACACCAGGCACTCCTGTCTTCCACTGCCGCCCGCAGTTTGGTCAAACTCATGCTGGTAGCTTCGAGAACACTGTCCAACCATCTTGTCCTCTGTCGTCTCCTTCTCCTTGTGCCCTCCATCTTTCCCAGCATCAGGGTCTTTTCCAGGGAGTCTTCTCTTCTCATGAGGTGGCCAAAGTATTGGAGCCTCAGCTTCACGATCTGTCCTTCCAGTGAGCATTCAGGGCTGATTTCCTTAAGAATGGAGAGGTTTGATCTTCTTGCAGTCCATGGGACTCTCAAGAGTCTCCTCCATCACCATAATTCAAAAGCATCAATTCTTCGGCGATCAGCCTTCTTTATGGTCCAGCTTTCACTTCCATACATCACTAGTGGGAATACCATAGCTTTAACTATACGGACCTTTGTTGGCAAGGTGATGTCTCTACTTTTTAAGATGTTGTCTAGGTTTGGCATTGCTTTTCTCCCAAGAAGCAGGCGTCTTTTAATTTCGTGGCTGCTGTCAGGCCAAGAAGGCAGGGCAAATCCTGCCACACCGTTCTTCCTGCAGGCAGCCGATGGATCATTTTTTTTCTGCCCCTCATACGGCATTTATCTATAGCTGAAACTTGTAGGCAGTGTACTTAGGGTTCTGCTGTAGTGGGTGGAATTAGAGAAATCTGAAGAAGGAACTCTTCTTCCATTTTGTTCTGAACATGGTCTTGAGCATCAGAAGTGGTAAGCAAGGAGCACATTTAGCCCAAGGCTGTGCCAAAGCTTTCTTTCCAATCTTTTCCAGTAGTTCAGTGGGGTGGGGGCAAATAGAAGTGCCCTGGAAAGAGGCCAGTGGGGTGAGGGGAGAACTTCGAAGGCTTTTTTGTGGGGTGGGGGCAATGCTGGCATTCTTAAGTTTTATGAGGTGGCAGAGTGCTCTTTTTCTTCCTTTTTACAATGCTGAGAAACTCCCCAGACACGTTCCCTGTGGCACAAAGCATCACCTCCCGGCTGTACTTCTGTAATGACCGTGTGACTACATGACGTTGCCTGGCCATATAGTCATTACAGAAAGTGTAGAAAATGCCGCCAGCAGGTAATCTTTTGTGAGAAAAGCCCTGAACCACAGAGAGGTCGTGCAGTGAGTTTTCAAAAAGGGAAACATACAGTTCTTCCATCTGTATTTAAGAATAAAAGTACAACCTGCTTCTCCCTCCTGCAGTTTCACCAAATTTTCTGTGGTCCCCTTGAAAGTGTGGAGAGCAAAGGTTTATTTTGAAAGCTGGGGATGGGGATCTGCACTGCGTTAGTATGGGGGCTGTAATTCCGCTGAATTATCGGGGGGAGGAGATAATTTGGCTTCTGAAAACTCAGCATTGTCATGAAAAAATAAGCCAGAAACTTTCTTGCATCTGTAGTTTTTTAAAAAATTATGTTTGTTAAAATCTCAGAAGCTAGAGGACTTGCTAAGTAAGATTTCTGTTTCCAGATTTCAGTGTCCCACCTCTTTCCATGAGCAGCAAAACCAGAACAAAATATGCAAAAAGTAAGGTGTTTTTCTAAAAAAAAGCATGCATATAAATGTGCATTAATTCATATAATCCAACTTTTCCTGCTGCAAGGTTGTTGCTCTTTTCTGTTTCTTTTATTGCTTTTTTATTTGGATACAGCATGCCCATACTATTGGTTACTTTTGAGCGCTCAATAAAAGGCAGATTTTATTTCTATCTATAGCAATAAGCCCTTGAGTGTTACAGAATTAATCTTATTGGTGATGCCCTCATATTAGTGGCAAGTAAGCCCTGCTTATTTTAAGCGCTTCCCACCAGTGTCGCTTACCCCGGGCGCGGTGAAAACACTTGATCCCACATGCAGTAGCAGCTGTTGTTAATATGCCTGTGTAGTTTTTGACTTTATATACTGCCTAAAACTGGAACTTCTGTATATCAGCACTGTTAATATTCCTATTAAAAAATGGAATGCAAGTTCCAATTGTTTTATCTTGTGCTACACTAACAAACATAGTTATGCTATGATTATTTCCCCAAAGAATACCAGCACAGTTGGCTGCGTGTGTGCTTAAGTCCACTGAAATTACTAAGGCACACAGAACAGTCCTTAATATTATTAAAGCCTAGTTCTGAGGGTGTAAGCCTGTGTGTTGGAGCTACATCGGTTCAGATGGCAGGTGGAGGCTGACATGTCTGCATCTCAGGTAGGGGATGAGAAAGAGCATGGATATCGGTCCATGTACTCCTTCTCCTGCATGGACAGATGGCTTCAGAGACCAATTGCAATGGGCATGGTATATTGGAGCCACGTTCTGCTCCAAGAGGGGACTTAGTGCTCTTGCAATTCACATTTATTACTTCTTAATTGCTGTGTTCTTCTGAAAAGAGAGAACCCTCTTAGGCTATTGGGGTACCGTATTTTCCCATGCATAAGACGATATTTTTTCCTTAGAAATAAAAGGCAAAAATTCTGGCTCGTCTTATACATGGATAGCAGAGGGGGGACGGGCGATTGGTGGCAGCAGCCAGCAAGAGATAGTCAGCGGCGAAGCATGCAACTTCCATCGGCATGCTGGTGATTGGCGGGGGTGATCCCCTCAGTAAAAGCTCAACAACTTTGGGCAATCTCCCCCCCCAAAAAAACTCAACAACTTGGGGCAATTTCTACCCCAAAAATCTTTGTTGCATTCCAAAAAATAGGGGGCATGTTATACACAGAAAAATACGTTATACAGTAGACCTTCGGGTTACATTACCCTCGAGTAACGTAAACTTTGGGTTGTGAAAGCGGCAAACCTGGAAGTATACTTCTGGGTTTTGCCGCTTGCGCATGTGCAGAAGCAGGCCTCTGGGTGCAGATTTTTTGGCGTGCACGCGGACCCCTGGAACGAATTAAATTCATATCCACTCTATCGGAACCCTTCCAATATTTGCTATGAGCCCAGTATTTTATCTAGGTTGTTCTTGGCTCCTGATTTCTTTTTTCCCTCTAGGGCTCCTTAATAACCCAATGAAAATTTCTGGATTGATGGGTTTTATCTCTTCTGCAGCCACAGATTTGTCTCTAGTAGGCACTCTGATATATAGTGACAGAAATGCTCAGCTCACAAGGCTCTCCTGTATGTGCCCTTTTGGGACTGAAATAACTTATTGGGGCCAATAATAGTTTTTATGTTGGACTGTCTTTTGGGAATGTTTTTAAATTAGTTTTTGTTACTTACATTTTATGTCAAAATCAATCATATTCTTCCTTCTAAGCATGAGGACGGTGAGGTAGTATGCATAGAAACTAGGAGAAAACCACCCTTATTTAAATTAGGAGGAATTGCAATTATTTGTTTGTTTGGAATATTTATATCTTGCCTTTCCAACAAAACATTGCTCAAGGTGGCTATAAAAACATCAGTTAAAATATACCGTAAACATCACAGTCAAGGAAACCAACCAAAATAAAGACAGCCCCTCATCATATCTTTAAGCAGCAGAAAACATAGAATTAAAATCAGTCAGATACTCGAATGCCATCAAAAGGTGTGAGGCCAAGCAGCGAAGGTAAAGAATTCCAAAATCTGGGTGTGACGACTTGAAAAGGCTCTTTTGTGTTCCCACCAAACTCACTTTTGACATCTGTGGCACTCAGATAAACGACCTGTCTTCCTAACCAGTGCTTTTTTAAAAGAAAAAAAAGGATCTGGTACCGTGTACCTTTGAGTTACCCCCCCAAAAAACACACTGCTCCCTTCCCATCAGAATGAGCTACACAGGACCCTAGGTTTGTAAGCTTCTGTCTGTAGCTCCTAGCAGGGACTTTTAAAAATTTGCAATCTCCGTCTTGGAAATGGGTCTGTAAACGGACATCAGTTTATAGTTTCATAACTGTATAAAAATACAGTTTTTGTACTTTTAAACATTTCCCCTTTGTCTCTTTCGCCCCCTGCTTTGTGATCGTTTGGATCCTGTTATTGATATTGGAGAAACTGTCTTTTATACATATTTTGGTCAAAAAAAGGGAAGGGAGTGTGCTTCCGCTATATGAGTTTTCGTAAACGTTGGCATATGTAGAAATCATAATCGTACATATGGGAAGACTGTATGTCTCGATGAAAGTGGGATGTTTGTTCCTTTTTGTGTTCATCCAGTTTAGGAAACCAGTCAAATAAGGGCTGAAAGGGGTGCTTGGGTAATCCAAGTGTTTTTCCTTTGATTTCTGGCCTGAATAAATGTCTTACTGCAATTGTACTTCCACCACAAATGACTTAACAGTCAGCTTTCACTTCATAGCAGCTAAACGGCATTGAGTTCTACTTCGACCACATCAGCTAGTGCCTCATGCACCTTTGTATGTTCATTCTAGCGTGCAACTGTACAAAAAGAAAAGAAACAAAAGGAGAAAATATAAAAGTTTCCCTTTTAGTGCACTATATAATTTTCAAATATTGCACACAATTGCTGACACTTACTTCCCCTTTTCAAAACGTCTCCTAGAAATCTTGGGCATATTTTAAAGTTTAGTTGATCCATTACATTTTTACACAGTTGAAAGTGAGGTCAACTATTACATTTTCTGCCTGAAAAGCCCAACGTAGATACAGTGGAACCTTGGTTCTCGAACTTAATTCGTTTCGGAAGTCCGCTCAACTTCCGAAACTGTTCAGAAACCAAGGCGCGGCTTCCGATTGGCTGCAGGAGCTTCCTGCACTCAAGCAGAAGCTGCGTTGGAAGTTCGGCTTCCAAAAAATGTTTGAAAACCGGAACACTTACTTCTGGGTTTTCAACGTTCGGGAACCGATTTGTTTGACAACTAAGCCGTTCGAGAACCAAGGTATGATTGGAGTGTGAAGGCACTCTGGGATGGAGGAGGGATGCAGGACGTCTCTGTGTGCAGGTGAGACATTGGATTGTTGGATTGTAAAGCACTTCAGGGGGCTTCAAGGGAGGAGACGTGTACATTAAATAAATAATAAAATGTGTGATGGTCCCTAATGTGGGCTGGACTGCCAAATCACTGGGGTTAGGCAGTTGGCTGTGTGGACAAGTGCAGTATTTTACTTCTCCACTCCCTTTCTTGGGAGACCTGTTCATTCCTGGACATTCCTAGGGCAGAAGCTGAACATGCTACCAATGAATACAGTGACTAGGTTCCTGTAAGGCCCAGAATATTTTGCTTAAAAGTCCTAATCTTGGGAGTATCAATCAGATACCTGGGGGGTGGGGAGATACGGTGGTACCTCGGGTTACGAACTTAATTCGCTCCGGAGGTCCATTCTTAACCTGAAACTGTTCTTAATCTGAGGTGCCCTTTCGCTAATGGGGCCTCTCGCTGCTGGCGTGCCGCCAGTGCGCGATTTCCGTTCTCATCCTGGGGCAAAGTTCTCAATCCAAGGTACTACTTCCGGGTTAGCGGATTTGTAACCCAAAGCGTTTGTAGCCTGAGGTACCACTGTACTTTTAAAATGGCCACATGCACTGTAACATTTGCCCTCCAGTTGAAGGCCCAATGAGGAATAGAGGTTCTCTTCTCATCTGTTATTTATTTATTTGCTTTTTATTACATGAATGTTCCACATTTTCTCCACAACTCTGTAGCGTAGACTATGCTGAGAGATGGTGAGTGACTGACCCAAGCTCACCCAGGGAGCCTTGAACCCTGGTCTCTAAGGTCCTAGTTCACTACATCACACATTTCCATGAACAAATATTCCGATTTCTTCCCTTATTTGCTAACCTAAGTCTGTATTCCAACTATTGATGTTCCCTGTTGTGAGCATGTTCATTAACAGCTGCTACAATTTGAGCACCATATTCTCTCTTAATTCCCCACACTGTCTTTTCTCTCAGAATAATTACTTGTTGAAATCTGTAATTTTTTTCAGTGAAAATACTGGAAGAGTTGTGGTCTCAGCCGTTGGCCCCCAAAGACTTCTATATAAAGGACTTCAACTTTTCCAGTTTAGGCTCTGGAGTCATGCTAGAGCATGGAGAAAAAAGTTTGTATGGTAAGGTTGCCCGGAATTTCCCGGACACATATGGGAAAAAGCTCAACAGGGCAAAAATTAAAAAAACCCTCAACAACTTTGCCAAAAAGCCAACAACTTTTCACGGTTTGAAATATGGCACCTCATCTGGGTTGTATGGAATATTGAAAACTGTCTTTTAGAAGGAATGTATTCCTTTACACAACAGCTGTGGCCAGAATATTAGTGACGAAAAATTGGAAAACAGACAAAATACCAGAATTACTAGAATGGAGAGCCAAAATTTTCGAATTTGCGGAAATGGCAAGGTTAATAGCATCAATTAGAGGTTGTCCTAATCAAAAAATCTATAAAGAGAGGGAATGTGTAAAGGTTTACATAAAAAGAGTTGGTTTTGGAGCTTAAAAATTAATATGCAATAGCTTAAAGGGTGCAAGGAGATAGGATAATATCATAACAAAGATGGAACAACAAATATAAACAGCAGGTAATGCAACAACAACAAAATTACAGCATGTAAAGAAGATCGCACCTGGGTGGAGGGAAGCAATGGATCTTGGGGGAGGGTGGGAGATGAGGGTGCTAATTGAAAAATTGTCAAAGATATATATAGGATTGAAGGGATTGAAAATAAGGAATTACAACAAGGAGACAAACATGAAGGAATATTAAAGTAATGGAATCTGAGAAGAGATTAGTATAAATGAAAACATGAGACTCAAGGTTTTGCCATATATGATTTGATTTTGGATGTGAAGTCTTTTGTTGTCAAGATTGTACGCTAAATGAAGAGAACAATAAAATGGGGGGGGGGGGGGAGAAAACTGGCTTTTATTTTTTGCATTAAATCAATGTGCAGTCGTGTCGTCATGATTCAAGTTTGCTTGGCTGCAGACAGGGGCTGCTGCTGCTGACCTCAGTGGGGTGAGAGGCAGTGGGTGGGCAGACTGGGCGAGCTGTGGAGGGCCAGCCAGAACAGGCTGCAGAAACCCCAAGAGTAGCTGCTTCGCTTCCAGCCCTGGAGCCCCTATGCCCAGGATCTAGAGTCCCAGCCAGCTGGTGCTGATTCTAACCACTTTCCTCCTCCTCAGTCAGCCTGGAGCTCTGCCGCTGCCCAAGCAGATGCAGGAGAAAGAGGAGGGCAGTGCTGGCGAAGTCAGCTGTTGCCACGACCCAGGATAAGGGAGCATGCTTTGGGAGGGGTGGTTGGGCCCCAAACGAGACCCCCAGAGTCCTTAGGCTGTGCTTCACCCACTCCCCTTCTAAGTACCTTCCCCACTGGCAGGAAAACACCCATGGAACGAGAGCAGTGTCTTTCTTTGTACAAATGCTGATTTGCACAGAAGTTACTTTATTAAAGGACCCTTGACCATTAGGTCCAGTCGTGGCTGACTCTGGGGTTGCGGCGCTCATCTCACTATATTGGCGAAGGGAGCTGGCGTACAGCTTCCGAGTCATGTGGCCATCATGACTAAGCTGCTTCTGGCGAACCAGAGCAGCGCACAGAAACGCCGTTTACCTTCCCACCGGAGTGGTACCTATTTATCTACTTGCACTTTGACATGCTTTCAAACTGCTAGGTTGGCAGGAGCAGGGACCGAGCAACAGGAGCTCACCCCATCGCGGGGATTCGAACCGCCAACCTTCTGATAGGCGAGTCCTAGGCTCTGTGGTTTAACCCATAGTGCCATCCACGTCCCTTATTAGATATATAATAAATAATAAATTTTATTTATACCCCGCCCTCCCCAGCCAAGACCGGGCTCAGGGTGGCTAACAACCAATAATACAAACAAGTTGATTGCAATACAACATTAAAACATGAAAATGCAGCCTCATCACAGGAGGAGAAAGGAAAAAAGAAAGAGGGGGAGGGAATCAAATTGATTCCAAGCCAAAGGCCAGGGGGAACAACTCTGTCTTACAGGATGTGGTGCTGATGTAACTTTGAGAACTACAATGTGCTTGACAGGCTTTGTTCCCATAGGTTTATCATTTCAGGTGGTAGCAGGCGACATCTCCCCTCTGCAGCCTGGCCCCTGAAGCGACCTGCCAGTGCGGGAAAAGTCCTGGGTGGGCAGATCCATGGTTTTGCTTTCCGTGCCCTTTCTCAGCGTGGAAGGAAAAATACGTGACCCTTCCCTGTAAGATGTGTGTGAATGAGAAGTGTATGTGTGGTGACAAATTGTGTATGTAAGAATGGGGGTGGGTGGGGGTGATTTGGCCCCCGGCCTGTTTGGGGCTGGCCTTGGCCACTTGGGGCTTGTGGTCCCGACTGTGTTCCTCTTGAAGGAATTCTGTCCTCAATGGGGAAAAGGTTCCCTGTTCCAAGAGCTGCCCATTTTTCACTCTGTAGTATCATTTCATTGCTCAGTTTCCTTCCAAAAGACTTTATTGCATATATTCAAGTTTGCATCTGATATGTGTGTTTCCTTCTTTTTCTTTCCTTCCTTGCATTGTTTACTCGTTCCCATTTCTTTCTTTTGCTCTGCATTTTTGAATTCCTTCTCATTTGTCCTCATGTGTTCCAAATTAATGCAATTCCCCTCCCCCCCCGACATTTCTGTCTTCAATATTTTTCTCATGTGGACTGAGTTTATTATTTTGCTTTCACAAATGTTGACCGTAATCCTCAAACCACTTTGGTATAATGGCACTGAAAATCAACGAAGCAAGCTGCCAATTTTAAAACAAACAAAACAGATATAAAATGTGGCTTTGGCTGGCAGACCAGTTTCCTGTAGAATCCATTCTCACATGCAAGGATTACATTATTCTCTTTTTTCACATGTTCAGTGTTCAGGCTGAAGAGATCGGGGCTCCTGCATCTTTGAAAGTTATAAGGGATCTTCTGCAGGTATAGTTTGTCATACTTGCTGAAATGGCCTTCTCTACACAACTATTAAAAGTGCCTCTTGTAGATCTCTCTTCCCTAAGTGCGAAAGACAGTTTGTTTTGAGTTCAGATATTGATTGATGGAGTTGCTGCTGTGCCTAGACAGGAATGGAAGGATGGTTAAGAGGACAGTCCTATATATCTCAATATATTCAGCAGTAAGTCCCATTGAGTTCAGTAGGAAGTTGCTCTTTCATTATCATTTTGGATGCCCTTATCTGAATCTTTTCCACCCCATCAATATCCTTCACAGGAGTCAACCACAGTTGTACACAGCATCCCAAGTGTGGTTACACCATAGATTTGTATCATGGCAGTACAATACTGACAGTTTTGTTTTAAGTTCCTTTCCTAACGATCCCTAGCATGGAATTCGCCTTTTGGGTGGCTGCTACAAGCTGGGTAAAGCTCTTCATTAAGCTATCCATTATGACCCCAAGGTCTCGTTCCTTTGGGAGGGAAGGGAAACGAGGCAAAAAGAGAAACGAGTGACAGGCAGTGACTTGCACAAATGCAGCTACATATGCCTAGCCATTTTTTGTTTGAGGAATAAGGGATTTATTTCCTTTCCTTTTCCGAGACACAGACCAGTAGGAGCATTCTTCTTCTTCTTCTTCTTCTTCTTCTTCTTCTTCTTCTTCTTCTTCTTCAATAGTTTAATGGTGATTTCATTTTCTACCAACCTAAGTCCTTTCCTCCTTTCATATTTTATTATGGAACAGGAAACTACGATCCTTTCTAACATCACAAACATTTGGGGCTGATGTCTCTAATGACCCACTTTGGATCAGGCCGCAACCCGCTAGGGAGTCCTGACCAACCGGTTGAAAACCAGTGACTTAGAGGTCATCCCTTATCACTCGGCGACTTCAATGAGTCAATAAGGCTGGGTTTTAAAAGAAAATTATTTGCATTATTTTCAGAATCATCACATATACATTCTGGAAATAAAGGTAGCCAACAAAACCAATGAAATTTCCCCAGGGACCCCAGAAAATACACCACAACTTTTAACAGTATACATCAGTAAAACACGTTCTTAGTAAGTGATTCACCTCTGGAACTGATACTTGGTTTTCTGGAGTATTTGTGAATGAAATAAAGGTCCACCATTCTCCTGCAAAGGTGTATTTATGCTGTGTTCCTCTTCCTAGTCTCAGATTGTGCTTGTTCTTCTGTAAGGGCAGTACACCATACTTTCTTGTACCAAGTGTTCAGGTTTGCACCTTTAAGTCTTTCCAGGGTGTCTGTATAACGAAAATGCTGCCACTAGGAGAAATCCAAGTACAGTGGTGCTTTGGTTTTTGAACAGAACACATTCCGGGAGTCCGTTCGACTCCCGGAACCGTTTGAAAAGCAAAGTGTGGCTTCTGATTGGCTGCAGGAGCGTCAATCGAAAGCCGTTTCAGACATTCAGCTTCTGAAAGTCGTTCGAACACCGGAACACTCACTTCCGGGATTCCATCGTTCGGAAGCCGATTTGTTCCGGAGCCAAGGCGTTCAGCTTCCAGGGTATGACTGTAGTGGTTTCCCCCCCAAGTCCCAAGTCCCATTTAAATACAGATTCTTTTTTTTTTTTAAATAATATTTATTAAAATTTCAAAAGAAAAAAAAATCACATTAATAAGAAAATTAACAATAAAAAGGAAAAATACAAAATACAAAAAAGAAAAAACAGTTAAAAACAATTCCATCTTTTCATCACTTCTTTTACATTTACTTGTTTCCCGGACCTCCTCATACCTCCCTCTTTTGTATTCCAATTCAATATGTTAATCCAGCAATTCCTTTCCCTCCTTTTTAATCCTAATCTTTAATCTTGATAAATTATAACATTAAATTTTTACATATTAAAAACCAATTTTTCCATATTTTTTTATACCATTACCGCTAGAAACCGCTTAACTTCAATCCGTCATCATTCTAACATTCATTAATTTTACAATATTTCTGTAAGTAGGCTTTAAATTTCTTCCAATCTTCTTCCACCGACTCTTCTCCCTGGTCTCGGATTCCCATTTAAATACAGATTCAGTAATGCAAGCTCTGGAGGCTTTTTGATATACTGATGAGTGATTTTACTTATCTCATTAAACGCTTGTTCCCTCAAATTTACCGTCAGTCAGTCATGTCCACCACAAGTGCCTATAGATGCCTGTGTCCCCCACCACTGGCAGCACACTGATGAAGTATGTTTATGCATATATGAAAGTTTAACTGGGGTTAAGCACCATTTCTGCAGTTGTGAGAGCAGTGTTTAAGTTGGCAAGGCTGTTACCGTATTTTTCGCTCTATAACACGCACCCGACCATAACACGCACATAGTTTTTAGAGGAGGAAAACAAGAAAAAAAATATTCTAAATGAAACAGTGGATGTATGATTTTTGTGGTTCATGCTGTGGCCACAGACATGTGATCTGACAGTGAGTTTGGAGTAGCCCAATGCAAAAATCCTGAGGATCCATGTGGATCCATGCTTTATAACCACGTTTTTGCACCTCTGCTGCCCCAGGCAACAGTGGGTGCGTGATTTTTTTGGTGCAAGATATAGCCATGGACATGCTATGTGATCTGATGGTGAATTTGGGGTGACCCGGTGCAAAAATCCTGAGGATCCATGTGGATCCTTGCTTTGTAACCATGTTTTAAGTGGGGAGGGAAGGAAAAGCACTCAAGGGACAAGGAGCACACGTGGGGTGTGTGGAGAAGGATGCTGCTAATAATGAAGAAGAGGAGTATAAGGGGAGAAGGCTCCTCTCCTCTCCCGCTTTGCTCCTTTAAAGCAAGCAGGCTCTGCTTTTCTCCCTCCTCCCCGCTCATCCCTAGCTTAGCGAGCTGAAAAACTTTGCTGCTATTTAGCGAGCTGAGTGGGGAGGAGAGAGGGACAGAGAGCCTGCTTGCTTTAAAGGAACTAACCAGACAGGAACTCTCCTCTCCCGCTTTGCTCCTTTAAAGAAGCAGGCTCTCTGGCCCTCTCTCCTCCCCACTCAGCGGCTCTTCTCCCGCTTTGCTGTTTCAAAGCGAGCCACGGAGGAGGGAAGGAAGGGGAACCATGGATCCTCTGCTCACGACTGCAGCAGATCCCCCCCGCCACCCGTAGGCATTTCCTCCATAACACGCACAGACATTTCCCCTTACTTTCTAGGAGGAAAAAAGTGAGTGTTATGGTGCAAAAAATACGGTACCGCATATGAGACTAAAATTGCCTTTCAGCCTCTCTGGTGGTATTTACGTTATGTATGATTTCCAAGGGAGAGCACAAGTAAGAAACCCATTGAGCAAACAGAAGCAACCCAAAGGGAGTGGTGGAAGAGGCAAAGTGTGTGTGTGTGTGTGTGGCTGCTGCTTGAACTGAGTTACAGACCTGGCTGGGGTTGAGCCAGCAGCTACGCAACTCCTATCAGTAGCCTGCCACCGTCAGGCACAATAAAATCTTATTTTGCAGACTTTTCAGTACTCTCATTTTGCTTTACATCCTCTTTTTCCTCTTGTGTGTGTTTTCCAGAAATATGTCTAATGTGTGAAACTTCTGCCTTAGATTCAGGTAGTTAGCTGTGTTGATCTTCCGCAGTTGAAATATATAAAAATTGTCCAGTAGTAAAGGTAAAGGGACCCCTGACCATCAGGTCCAGTCATGACCGACTCTGGGGCTGTGGCGCTCATCTCGCTTTATTGGCAGAGGGAGCCGGCGTACAGCTTCCGGGTCATGTGGCCAGCATGACTAAACCGCTTCTGGCGAACCAGAGCAGCGCACGGAAACGCCGTTTGACATGCTTTCGAACTGCTAGGTTGGCAGGAGCAGGGACTGGGCAACAGGAGCTCACCCCGTCACGGGGCTTTGAACTGCCAACCTTCTGATCCGCAAGTCCTAGGCTCTGTGGTTTAACCCACAGCGCCACCCGTGTCCCACCACGTAGCACCTTAGAGACCAACTAAGTTTGTTCTTGGTATAAGCTTTCGTATGCATGCACACTTCTTCAGATACACCACGGGTTGGCAAGGTTTACCTCGCCTGGGCCGGTTCACTCCAGCGGAGATCCCTCCGTGGGCTGGATTGTGCACTCGCCCGCAACGTCCGGCATCTGCATTTGCGCAGACGCAATTTCCAGCACCTGTTCATGTGCAGACATTATTTCCCGCATCACAGAAGTGAGTCGCTGCGCTGCGCCGGTTTTGTGCAGTGTGTGGGGACTCGCCAAGCGGGCGGCTCAGGGGCCGGTTAAACAACTCCCGTGGGCCACTTGTGGCCCGTGGGCCTTAGGTTGCCAACCCCCTGTGATACACAGAAAGTTTATACCAACAACAAACTTATTTGGCCTCTAAGGTGCTACTGGACAATTTTTTTGCCTTAGAGTTTGTGTCATTTGTAGTATAGCACCACAGGCAACTCCTTCAGTGCTGGTTTCAACAAGAGTATATAGGCATATTCTTATTCTTCAACTGCTTTCTGTGTACAAAGGTATTTCAGGAAAAACTCTGGCTTTGCTTGCTCCATAGCCTTTTCTGCCTTTCGTCTGCGGTGCTGAGCTCCAGATGGTCGCTTTTTAATCAGCCGTAGCTCACTAGAAAAATGAATACATTTTCTAAATAAGATTAAGATGTGACTGTAAGATTTAAAATTAAGTGCATTCTACAGTCCATATTTCATATATGCATAAAAAACAATGCTAATGTATTAATTACAGTGGTACCTCGCAAGACGAATGCCTCGCAAGACAAAAAACTCGCTAGACGAAAGGGGTTTTCGTTTTTTGAGCTGCTTCGCAAGACGATTTTCCCTATGGGCTTGCTTCGCAAGACGGAAACGTCTTGCAAGTTTGTTTCCTTTTTCTTAACACCGTTAATACAGTTGCGACTTGACTTCGAGGAGCAACTCATAGAACGCGGTGTGGTAGCCTTTTTTTGAGGTTTTTGAAGACTTTGGTGATTTTTGAAGCTTTTCCAAAACTTTCCCGACACCGTGCTTCGCAAGACGAAAAAAATCGCAAGATGACAAAACTCGCGGAACGAATTAATTTCGTCTTGCGAGGCACCACTGTACTTCAAAATGATAAAATTATTCAAAATAATAAAAGTCAAATATTATAACAAATTTCTAAGACATAGCAAAAGCTGGTAGGGCTGCTGGGGCTGCATTTGTTCCCATATATCTCAGTAGGAAGGCATAATGGTTAAGGGGAAGTTTGGTCTGAAAGCAATATAGTATAAAATTAGGTGTGGCGCTCTGCCTGTTCCTTCTTGGTTTTCCACACTGCACGCTTTCTTACAGTTCTAATGTAAGGGCTGATATTCAATCTTATGGTATCAAGACAGTGATGATATATTCGATGAACACCCTTTGTCCAAGTCGTTTATAAAGACGTTGAACGACAACGGGCCCAGCTGAGGTCAGACAGAAATTCCTTGTGGAATTCCCAGTGCTCACGGAAGATGTTTTTATCCTCCAAGCATTTTAATTGCAGCTTGGAGTTTCGTAGTTTTAACCAGTTTTTACCTTTCCTGCATCTTATTTCTTGTACACCGCTTAGAAATTATAGTACTTAAGCCATGGATAAATTGTTTAAACAACAACAACAACAACTTCAAGGTTCTGGTAGGAATGTGAGATCCGGTGATAAAAAGGGAGCAAGCAAAATCTTTCTCAGGCATTGCCAAGACGTCTCTACGGTTGCTGTCCCATCACTTGTTGCACTGATGTGAATCTGCACGTGTTTCTGTTTTTCTTGGTTTCTGTCAAATGCAATATCAGCTCACTTGAGCACTGATCCTGCATGTTGGCAAAATCCTCAAGTGTTTGCTTCTCTACCGGCCTTGTAAACCTTTATGTCCCTGTCGGCATGCATTGCTTTCTTCATTATCTTCAGCATTTTCGCTTTATTCAAGTTTCTGAGGCTAAAAGTTGAAGGCTTCCTTTCATTTGCTGGCTTGGGTTTTTCCATCTTCTGTCAACAGAAGGATTACCAGTGGTTCTATCCTACTAAACTCAATAACACAAACATGGTGTATATAAATACTTTATAGTGATGTGATTCCTTGAAATTCTCCTTCAGCAGCTGCCTCGTATTTACCCATTCAGAGCTCCCTCAGAAGTTGGACCCAATGCCTCTATTTCCCCCTTGCTTTTTCTCTTTGATTCCAATATAGAACTCTTCTTTGAGAGCGGTTTTCTTGTTATTCAGGCCAGAATTCAATTGTTTGTCCAGTGGTACCTCAGGTTACATAAGCTTCAGGTTACAGACTTTGCTAACCCAGAAATATTAAAATTCGGGTTAAGAACTTTGCTTCAGGATGAGAACAGAAATCGTGCGGCAGCGGGAGGCCCCATTAGCTAAAGTGGTGCTTCAGGTTAAGAACTATTTCTGGTTAAGAACGGACCTCCGGAATGAATTAAGTACTTAACTCGAGGTACCACTGTACAGCCATAGAAAGCATTAGTTCAAGACACCAACTTGGTCGCCATCTTGAATTATGGGGTTTCTTTGAAATGAAAGCCCTTCATGATATTTTGTTAGCAAACTCGTTAAATACAGAATAGGCCAGGCATAAGCAAACTCGGCCCTCCAGATGTTTTGAGACTACAACTCCCATGATCCCTAGCTAACAGGACCAGTGGTCAGGGATGATGGGAGTTGTAGTCCCAAAACATCTGGAGGGCTGAGTTTGCCTCTGCCTGGGATAGGCGATAGTACCATCAGGTGGATTCACTTTTGGTTGGAAAACTACACACGGACTTCTCATTAATGGCTCATCTTCATTCTGCAGGCAGATTTTTAGTGGAGTGCTGTCATGCCTGGTGTTCTTTAACATTTTTATCTTGGATGAAGAGGTGGAAGGAATCTTCATTTTTTTTTAAAAAAAATAATTTTTATTAATTTTCCAACATACATTTATAATATTCAATCTAAATTTGTCACAAATTTTCTCTTTTAGATTTCCTTCAGCCTCTCTGACAATCATCCGTTATTCTATTTTTTATTACGCATTTGCTACTTATTATATTGCATTTGATATACCCTCTCCCTTTTGTTTTTCTTTCAACAATATTCCTCAAACATTCACAGAACTTCTTGAAATCCCACTAACGTTATTTGCTCATCACATATACATTTCAAATCTTCATAAAGTCTGCAGATGGCATAAAGCTTGGAGGACTAATTTGGCACCTCGGAAGAACAGAAATACGTTTTCAAAATGAAGTTAACAGGGTGGAGAACTTGGATTAATGACAAAATGAAATTCAGCAGAGACAAGTGCAAAGTTCTGCATGGAGAACAATCTCGACAGGAGGAGCAGTTAGACAGTGGAACCAGTTCCCTGTCTTCAAGCAGAGGCTGGGCAACCATCTGTTGGAGATGCCTTAGGTCTGGATTTTCTGTATTGATCATAGATAGCTTATAATGCATTCTTCGGCTCTGTGATTTTTGTGACCAAAACCCCCAGCATTCTGTCTCCTTTGGTGGTCAACAATATAACTCTGGGAAGCCTATGAGCACAACATGGATTTCGTGGCCTTTGTCTGTTGGTTGCTTCCTTTTTTTAATAATATTTTTTATTAATTTTAATATATAAATTATAATACATACCACAAAACTTCACCACTTATACAATCTTTTTTGGACTTCCATCAGCACCTCTGATGATCCACCGCTTTTATCACTTCTTATGCATTTCTTAAATTCATATTGCCTTTAATTATCTTAACTAACCATCCTCCCCTTTATCCATTTTTGCAATAGTTTCAATAATTCACCTCACAAAACTTCTTGCAAACCTACAAACGTAGTCTAATCATCACAATTACTTTTCAAATAGTCTGTAAATTTACACCAGTCTTCTGTGAATTTCTGGTTCCGCAGATTTCGAATCCTTCCTGTTAGTTTGTCTAGTTCTGCATATCCATTAATTTCATCCTCCATTCTTCTTTCATCGGTAATTCTTCTTGCTTCCATTTTTGTGCCAATAATATTCTTGCTGCCGTCGCTGCATATAAAAACAGCTTACAGTCTTTTCTATTTATATCACTTCCTACAATGCCCACTAAAAATGCTTCTGGTTTCTTTCAACATTTTTTTCATCTCGTTATATATCATTTCCCAGAAGCTTTTCACTTTTTTACATTCCCACCACATGTGATAAAATGTTCTTTTGGTTGCTTCCAATAAGTTCCGTGTAGCTATCATAGCTACTACTTGTTCACTGAGCCACCCTCCGTGAGGGAATGAAGGATAATTGTGGTTGATGAGGGTATGGCTGCTTGCACGCCATTTTCCCCTCGTCCGCAGGACTCTGGTTGCTCTTCCACTGTGCCCCCTAAATTTTGTGGCATTGTTATTGAATGCAGCTTGGTCCATAATAAGGCCTCGTTGGATGAGGGGACCAACCTGGTGTGCATTACCCTCACAGAGCTGCAATTCTCAGTGGTTTAGCAATCTTCCCTCTTCCCAGGCAACTCTAAGAATTGAAGATCTCTGAGGGTTTCTTAACTTAAGCACCCTTAAGAGACTACAGTTCCCAGTATTCTTTGGGGAAGCCATAACTGTGGTGTGTGATACTTTTAAAAATGTACAATGCAGAAGGGGCCTCTCACAGATGCCTCAAATTGGTTTCGTTTCTCCACGAATCAAGGCTTTTAGTGTTATAGCACCAGTAATTTGGAACACTGGAAATCAAAAAATTGCATTGCAAGAAGCAATTTGATTGGTCCTTTATTTTGTATTTTATCATTGTATGGTTTAATGATTTTATTGTACACTGCCTCAAGGTTTTTTTATGAGTTGGCAGTTTATATAAAAAATATTACAAGTCAAAATCATTTTTCCCTGTTATGGTCAATGACCAGCATTTATTCTTATAAGTAATTTGTCTGTGCTTCTTCTAGTAATTTAAACCAGTGGCCATCACCGCATGTCGTAACATTGAATTACAAAACTTAGCTGTGTATTGCATGAGGAAATACTTTATTTTGTCTGTCCTGAACCCATTGCCAGTATGTTTAATTTGGTGACCCTGAGTTCAATTGTTTTCAGGAGAGGTAGTAAAAATTTCTTTATACACTCTCCTTGCGACATTAATAATTTTATAAGCATATCCTGTTTCCACCGAAGAAGACACCTTAGTCTCCTTTTCTCCGTCCCAAATTGAAAAGCCTAGAGCTGTGTTTCCTAGTAGGGAACAAGACACATTCCTGAATTTGGCATTGTGTTTCAAATCCAACATTTTCTGCCTGAAACGTAATGTGCACTGACATCCATGATTGATGGACAACAGTGCCGCGCCTGGCATGGATTGGATCTTGATTCTGAATGAGACTTTGTGCTATCATTAGCCAGAGCTCTTGAAACTGTGTATGAAGAGCAATAAAATAGGCTGAACTAGGTGGCCAGCCACAGAGAGAGAGGAAGAAGGGCTTACTTAGCAGCGGGTGAATGGAAAGTCCCAAGGAAATTTGAATGGGCTTGCCATGTTGAGAAGTCTTCTCTGCCCTGTGACAAGGTGTCTGTCCAGCCGTTCTGTGCGTTTCCGCTTACATAAGCAGATTGGATCTTAAAGCGCAGTCTGAGCTCAGACCTCTTCAGGTTTCAGTAACATGGTTGCAGGTTCAAAATCTGAATCCCCCAGAACCAAATGAAAAATGCACAGTCTTGAAGCCTGGCTAGGAGCCAAATGTGGAAAGGGTGAATTATCCAGTTACTGAACTCTCACAGGAGCAGCTGTTCCTCTTGAGAGCTTTCGACTCAACATGGTGGGAATGTTTTGAATGCACAAACGTATAAAATAATCTGGCAAAATTTCAATCGCTTTTCAAAGGCAGAATAAAAACTTGAAGGAAAGCCACAGTGCTTTGGAAGCGTGTAGAAGATTTATAGGCCCCTGACAAGCAAACAAGTCGGGGGGGGGTGTCTCTAAATTCCAGTTGCTGTTTCTCTGTGGAGGCTGCAGCTAGGAATGGAGGATAAATTTGATTCAGTTTGTGTTTAAAGGCAAACATACCCAACTCACACTTTCTGAAAACTGTAACACAGCTAGCCCTCAAAATTCACACGTCTCCTAATTTTGCAGTGCAGTTTTCCAGTCATGTAATGTGTGCAAATATGCATGTAGCAGGGGGAGGAGTGCATATAAATATGTATATTAGTGGAAGTAAAAACAAAAATACACCAAATTTGAAAAACTGCATACAAAATTGTGAATATTTAAAAGTTGCACTAAAATCTTGCTGAATTTTCATGAGAACTTTTTGATACCAGTTTGTGATGATGATGATTTTTTAATGTGGAGAACAGAACTTTGGAAAGACTGGAAAATGAGAAACCCTTAAAAAAAACCCCAAATAAATAGCTGTTTATTTTTAATTAAAGGGGTAGAGATCTTTTTTTAAAGAAAAAAAATGCACATAAATAAGAAAGCAGATTTGACAGATAATGCCCATCCCTAGTTGCAGTATGGTTGCAGCTGGGAGCATTGTTCTTGTAACAGGGTGTTGAAATAGGTGGTTCAGCTGTGTTGCCAAATGAGGTTGTATGCACCTTGCACACTCAGAGAGCAGAGTTGGAGTGTTTCCAAGAAATCTCAAGTTATACCTTCCCTCCCTCTGAAGCTGCTGCCACATGTGTTTGCCACTGCTTTCCAAAGCCTGTGATCCAACATCTGTCAGGGATTTTTAAGCTGTGATTCTTGCATTACAGAAAGTGGACTAGAGGACTCTCGGGGTGCCTTCTATAAGATCAGGGGTCAGCAAACTTTTTCAGCAGGGGGCCGGTCCACTGTCCCTCAGACCTCGTTGAGGGCCAGACTATATTTTGAAGAAAAAAACGAACGAATTCCTATGCCCCACAAATAACCTAGAGATGCATTTTAAATAAAAGGACACATTCTACTCATGTAAAAACACGCGGGCCGGATTTAGAAGGCGATTGCACCGGATCCGGCCCCCGGGCCTTGGTTTGCCTACCCTTGTATAAGATCTTCCTAAGCATTACAGGGGGATGAGAGCATGTTTCCAATGCTAAATTACTCATGGGTCCTGGCACCAGTGCCCACAATGATTATGTGGAGTCATCTGTCCCTTTGGGGGTTCCCAGTTTGCTGGACTCACTGCTCTCTATGATGTACATAGTGACACCACCTCCAATAGGCCCTTCCAGTAGATTTTGTGTCCACAGACACAACTGTGTCCCACTGGTTTTCTGTGCTCCACCACATTCCCATTGTTCACATTAGATGCCATCCTGTAAGACCAAGCACTCTAGTTCACCTATCATGGTTCAGAGGCTTTTAGCATTAGTGTATAAGCACTTCCGAGGGACGCAGGTGGTGCTGTGGGTTAAACCACAGAGCCTAGGACTTGCTGATCAGAAGGTCGGCGATTCGAATCCCCGCGATGGGGTGAGCTCCCGTTGCTCGGTCCCTGCTCCTGCCAACCTAGCAGTTCGAAAGCACGTCAAAGTGCAAGTAGATAAATAGGTACCGCTCTGGCGGGAAGGTAAACGGTGTTTCTGTGTGCTGCTCTGGTTTGCCAGAAGTGGCTTAGTCATGCTGGCCACATGACCCGGAAGCTGTATGCTGGCTCCCTTGGCCAATAAAGTGAGAAGAGCGCCGCAACCCCAGAGTCGGTCATGACTGGACCTAATGGTCAGGGGTCCCTTTACCTTTACCTTTTTATAAGCACTTGCATGCAGCACTTAGGTTTTTGCCTGCAGTTGTCTCTCAGTTGCTCTCCTGCGACCTTTTATTTGCAATGCCTAGTTCTGTGCCTCCTGTAATTAACTGTACATCAGCTTTATCACCTTCATCCCCAGGTTCTGACTCTTCTCAGCTCCTGTCGGATTTTCCCGCTCAATCACTGGAGAGCCAGCGTGGCGTAATGGTTAGAAGGAACACGGGTGGCTCTGTGGTCTATGTTATGGTAGAGGCCCGTAGAAGGAACTTCATACTCTGCTCTCAAAGTGCATAGGAGTTTGGCCTTTTGTTTTTCCCATCCAAAGTAACAGTTCATTATAAAAGCTGCAGAAAAGATGTGAGATGTAGGGTTTTCACAGTGAGTCCCCATGGCTGATGTAATGACTCAGTCCAGGATCTCCATAGTCTGATAATCGTACAAACATAATGAAGATGTTTCAGGTGAAGGGAAGCTTTCCCTGCTTGTAGGCAAGTCAAATCTGTCACCATTTTTGAATGTTTTAACAACTCAGGCAATGTTAGATCTGTCGCTAGAAGGGGACAGATATATTCTGCTTAATGAAGAACGTGATGTTTAAGAAAATTAATCTCAAAATGGTGGCACGTTGCTGTGTTGCAAAATCAATGAACTGGCATAGTTTCCACCTTTTTAAAGAGCCTCATTTGTATTGTCTGCTCTTGTTATTAGTTATACAGCATTTCACCAAACAAATATTATTCATCCCCCTTTAAAAATAGTTGCAGTGGGGTGAAGTGTACTGTTTAGCCCTAGTAATACACTAGGCACTAACCAATAGGTGTTAACAACAACAACAACAACTATTATTATAATAATAATAATATAATATAATATAATATAATATAATATAATATAATAATATAATATAATATAATATTATAATACAATCTACTGCCTTTCATCCAAGGATCACATGGTGGTATGTTTTTGTGTGTGTGTGTGTGTGTGTGAGTGTGTTTGTTTGTGTGTGTGTAAGTTTGGGGCTTATTTCCCCTTGGGGATGAATAGGGATGGGACTCAAAGACTTTTCTTAACTGGGTTTATGTTCCAAGTTTGTGTCACAGTTGCTCAGTCCACGATGACGCTAAGCTTGTTGCACCAGTATGGTCTCATTCCTCAGCCTGGAATGTCAACAGTGAACTCAATTCTGGTGTTGATTTTTACAATTCCAGCCAAAAAGATCTCCCTGCAAATGCGAATTGTGTGCCCCCAGGGCACACAAAAACAACTCCCATCCTTGGATCCTGTTTTTGGGTGCAAGCACCAAAAAAACACAGCAAAACGTACTTCTGTGAATAAACATATATAAGATGGGTGGTGCCTTTGTGATCCCTTGAGGCAGTTGATGTTCTGCCTTTTCCTGTGATCTGGGATTTCTCCCAAGCTTTTGAATACCTCCTACCACTTTCTAAAAGGTATGGTGCTTTCTGGGGCTCAGTGCGCTCTTCAGTGTGGGCAGAGGTTCTTGCACAAAATTATTTCACCCACTGCTGTTTCATGCTAGGATTGGTGGGGTGATATAACGTGTCCCAGAATTGACATTAGAAGTCTAGCAGAAGAAAGTACTATTGAATTCAGTGACACTTGCTCTCAGCTAAGCAGAGTTTGGAGTGTTGCAGAGTTCCGTATTTTTCAGTGTATAAGACAGGCTTTTTTATTGTAAGGAAATGTAAAAATTGGGAGTCGACTTATACACAGATAGTGCATAAAGGGAACGGGCGATTGGTGGCAGCCACGAGCGGGAGATTGTCAGTGGCGATTGGGCGGGTGATTGATGACTGCGGCAAGGCCTGCTGACGATTGGCTGCTGCTGCTGCGGCAATTGGGCGGGCAGTTGGCGGTGAGCGGGCGGACGATTGGTGGCTTCAGCAAGGCGTGCAATTGGCAGCGGCGGTCAGGCGGGTGAGCGATTGTTGGCAATCCCCCCAAAAAGCTCAGGAACTCTGGGCAATCCCCCCATTTCCCTAATTTGGTGTCCCAAAAAATAGGGGTTGTCTTATACACGGGGGTGTGTTACACACAGAAAAATACGGTAAACAGCAATCCAAAACCCATCCTAAAGCCAGATGTGCTGTTGATGTCTTTAAAATACTTTTTCATTAAAAGTGAAGTTAATGGGAAAGCTGTGAATGGGATGTGGCAACCTATGTAGGATCCAGGAGGAGGGGGCGGCGAGTTTTTGTGACTTTAATAGCTAAACAGAAGACACCGAGTGCTGTTGCTAAGGATAGATAGAGGTGTTGCACCTAGCTTGTATATCTGAGTTTCCAACACTGGCTGCAACCTCTGTTGCTGCTATTTGTTCTTTAATTTGTGTTTATGCAATTTCTGCCCTCCCTTCAAGGCTTTATTATTATTCATCCTCCACTGATCTAATGTTTTGGATACTCAATAAAATTACCACAAATGTTCTGACACACTGGGGTAGTCTTGTTCACCGATGTTTAATTAATTAAACAACATAGTTTTATTTGGGTTTTGAACAAATGTGCAATTAATTGTTACTGTTCTGAAGTTTATTGTGTTATAATCTTCCTTAGTGGGTCAGGCAAACTACTGTTCAAAACAATGGTTTTCTTTAGGGTGGCGCAGGGGGAGAGTTTATGTAACCAAGCCAGGGTGGGGTGGGGGCTGAAAAAGTTTGGGAACCACTGGATTAGACTGTTGAGACATTTGGATGGCATGTAAAATTAATATGGCAAAAGTTTTCATTTTTGTTTAGAAAATATTTCTAAACTCCACATAAAAGTAAGCCAAATTTAGTTTATTAAAACAGCTAAAACAACTTAAATCAGTGATGGCCAAACTCCAGCTGTTTTGGGACTACAACTCCCATTACCCCTAGCTAACAGGACCAGTGGTCAGGGATGATGGGAATTGTAGTCCCAAAACAGCTGGAGGGCAAAGTTTGGCCATCACTGACTTAAATGGTTTACCATATATAATAGCAGTAAACTTGCTAAATCTAAATCGGCTCTCCTTATATGGTCAAGACCAGCACTTTGAATTCGGAACAGAAACTAATTGGCAGTAAGTGCAGTTGGGTGAGGATTGGCGTAATATGCTCAAACCGTCTTGCCCCAATGAGTAACCTGGCTGCTGAATCTTGCAGCAGCTGAAGTTTCTGAAATGTCTTCTGAGGCAGCCCCATGTCTAATATTTTGAAGTAATCTAACCTAATGGCTACCAGAGCATAGACGGCAGACGTTAGGCTATCCCTATCCAGATAGGGGTGGGACGTGGGTGGCGCTGTGGGTTAAACCACAGAGCCTAGGGCTTGATGATCAGAAGGTTGGCAGTTCGAATCCCCACGACGGGGTGAGATCCCATTGCTCGGTCCCTGCTCCTGCCAACCTAGCAGTTCGAAAGCACGTCAAAGTGCTAGTAGATAAATAGGTACCGCTCCGGCGGGAAGGTAAACGGCGTTTCCGTGCACTGCTCTGGTTCACCAGAAGGGGCTTAGTCATGCTGGCCACATGACCCGGAAGCTGTACGCCGGCTCCCTCAGCCAATAAAGCGAGATGAGTGCCGCAACCCCAGAGTCGGCCACGACTGGACCTGATGGTCAGGGGTCCCTTTACCTTTACCTTTCTCCAGATAGGGGCACAGCTGGGCCACCTGCTGGAACTGATGGAAGGAACTCAGTGCCACGGAGGCCACCCAAGTTTCAAGAGCAGCCATGGATCCAGAAGAACCCTGAAGCTATATACCCACTCCTTCAGAGGAAGTGTAACCCCATCAAGAGCAGGCAACCTGCCAGCCATCCAGTCTAGAGAACTGCCGCCTATCAGTGCCCCAGTCTTAATCTGGATTGAGCTTCAGTTTATTGACTCTCATCCAGCCCATTACTGAGGCAAGACACTGGTCCAGCACTTCCGCTGCCTCACCTGCAGATGTAAAGAGAAGTAGAGTGGTGTGCCATCAGCCTACTGCTGACAATGTACTCCAGAATTATGGATAACCCCACTCAGCGGTTTCATGTAGATCAGGGGTCAGCAACTTAAGGCCCATGGGCCAGAAGCGGCCTGCGGAGGTCGTTTGACCGGCACATGAGCCGCTCCCGAACTGAGATGCCCACTCACATGCTGCGCTAAACTGGTGCAGGGACTGGTGCAGGGACTCGCTTCCGCGGCGCAAAAAATCATGTCTGCGTAGAAGCAAGTGCTGAAAATCACAGGCGCGCACACGATCCAGCCCATGGAGGGATCTCCGTGGGACCGATAGATACCGTATATACTCGAGTATAAGCCGACCTGAATATAAGCCGAGGCACCTAATTTTAGCACAAAAAAACTGGGGAAACTTATTCACTCGAGTATAAGCCGGTTCACCACACCATAAACCTGGTGGTAGCGGCAGCAGTGGAGGAAGAACAAGCAGCCCAAAAGGGCTGCTTTTGGGCTGCTTGTTCCTCCTCTGCCGCTGCAAACAGCGGCAAGGGTGGCGAAGGAGGAAGGAGCAGTCCGAAAGCAGCTGTGCCTCTCCCAACCGCGGCTCCCTTGTGAGAGGCGGGCGGCGGTGGGACCAGCGGCGAGAAAGGGCTCCTTTTGGGCCGCTTGTCCCTTCGCCGCCGCCACCCGCCTCACTCGAGTATAAGCCGAGGGGGGCTTTTTCAGGATTAAAAATATGCTGAGAAAGTCGGCTTATACTCGAGTATATACGGTAAACCTTGGTGACCCCTGATGTAGATGTTGAACAGTATAGGGGATAAAACTGAACCTTGGGGAACCCCACATTGAAGGCTTCAGGGCCCAAAGAGCATCACCCTTGGGAATGATCACCCAAGTAGAACCAGAACCATCACAAAGCGGTGCCACACACCCCTAACTCGGACGTCTGCTCCAGAAGGATACTGTGGTTGATGGTATCAAAAGCCACTGAGAGGTCAAGGAGAATTAAGAGGGACACATTTCTTTCTCTCCTGGCAGAGGTCATCATACAGGGCAACCAAAGCAGTTTAGGTGCCAAAGCTGGGCCTAAACCCCAATTGAAATGGCCCATTAATTGTGTCATTAGTTACTATGTGCAGGCTGCCTTTGGGATTTTGATAATTATGTATTGCTGTTTTTATCTTTTTGCTTTTTTGCATGCGCCCTCATTTTTGCCTAAATGGCAATTCACCTGCCAAGCATAATTTGTTTTTATTTTGATAGTCAAGCAGTATATAAATTTTATGAAAAATATAATTCATTGTGTTTCCCTTTGCCTTTTGGATCTTCCCCCACATCTTGGGACCTGAGTTTACAACTCGAATGCCATATTGACCTCCACTGGCTGCAGTTGCTTGGCTGACATTAACAGACGTCTTGGGGGTCTCTAGCCAGTTTCACACACAATCTTGGCTGACTGTATCTAGTCAAGCTGAGCTACTCATTTTGGTCCATTCTGTGATGGTTTCCTCTCTTAGGGAGGGACTCCTATCCTCCTCTCTTGAAGGAGGCAATTGTGTGTTTTCTACTTTAGAAGTTATCCCCTGAATCTAACTAATCTGGTCAGTTTTATGGGCAAAGTTTATTTGTTTGTTTGTTAAATTTCTACCTTACCCTTCCTCTGAAAGGATGGGGTGGTAGCTGTATAGCTCTGGGACATTCAGGAGGGAAATGATCATATAGATCGTTATCAATCTGACTTCAGGCTAAGTTTTGGTTGGCAAATGCGTTGATAAACTGGTGGATCTATGCCATGGGTAGGCAAACTAAGGCCCGGGGGCCAGATCCGGCCCAATCGCCTTCTCAATCCGGCCCACGGACGGTCCGAGAATCAGCGTGTTTTTACATGAGTAGAATGTGTCCTTTTATTTAAAATGCATCTCTGGGTTATTTGTGGGGCATAGGAATTCGTTCATTATTTTTTTTCAAAATATAGTCCGCCCCCCCCAAGGTCCCCCCCCAAGGTCTGAGGGGCAGTGGACCGGCCCCCTGCTGAAAAAATTTGCTGACCCCTGATCTATGCAGTGCTTTTTTTCTGGAGGGGCGCAGGGTTACGCATACCCGTAAACATTTTGTGAATCTAAGTTTGGCCTTATTTCAATATGAGTAGGAAAATGAGAGTACCCCTAAACATTTTTTTTAAAAAAGTACTGGATCTGTGTCAAGAGATATATAGGGGCCTATCTGTTATGTACTGAAGTTCTCACCCTGGGCCAGCAGGGGGATACTGTAGATAGTTATGCAAATGAAGGATCGCAAATGAAGTGATTGGATAGTTTTAGAATGTTGCAACAGTTACAATTGTTCTGTAGCTCTATATAAGCAGGCTGACTGAGCTTCTCAACCAGTTCTGTTCCAGCTTACAAAATAAAGAGCTGCTTTGGAGAAATCGCTGTGTCGTCTGCTATGTCAACCCACAACTTAACACTATCCAAGCAGGCTGATTTTCTTGGATCTCTGTTGTGACCTTTTGAGGCATTGCAATGTGGAGTCTCCTTGTTAGGAAGATCTCAGAAAGTAATCTTGATGCATTTATGCTTTGCACTGCTTTGTGGAATTTGTCTAGTGGAGCTCCTCAAGATCTGATCTTCTCCACCACATTCTTCAATATCTACATGAAACTTCTAGGAGCAGTGTATTTGGAGATCTGGCATGAACTTACCACCACTTGGGTGGCAAAAAGCTGCCTATAGATAAAATGGCACCAATAAGTTGATTACACCCAGCTCTACTTTTTTCTGCCAGGCCTGGGTGAGGAAGTGGTAATTGAGAACAGATGTCTGGTGGCAGTGATAGACTACAGGAAGAAGAATAAAATGAAACCCATACGCTGAGATCTTCAGAAGAATACCTGCTCCAATTAAAAACCCTACATACCGTATTTTTTGCTCTATAAGACTCACTTTTCCCCTCCTAAAAAGTAAGGGGAAATGTGTGTGTGACTTATGGAGCGAATGCAGGCTGCGCAGCTATCCCAGAAGCCAGAACAGCAAGAGGGATCGCTGCTTTCGCTGAGCAGCGATCCCTCTTGTTGTTCTGGCTTCTGAGGTTCAGAATATTTTTTTTCTTGTTTTCCTCCTCCAAAAACTAGGTGCGTCTTATGGTCTGGTGCGTCTTATAGAGCGAAAAATACGGTAAGTTTGAGAGTGGCATGAAGGTGCAATGGGATCTGCTCTTCAGAATGCACTCCCTAGGGAAGCTTGCCATGCAAGTTCTCTTCTTATCCTCCAGAAACTTTTTGTTCCAAGTTGGTATTTGGGATGGGAGGCAGATGTTGCTTTACTGAGTGGGTAATATACAACTAATATTTGGAGCGGCCCCATTGAAATTTGCTGAGAATGATTAAATATTGCCCACTGTTTCTTCTGTAGTGCTTTATTTCTTTCATTTATAAAAGTATTTATATGCCACCAGATCGTAAAACACCAGTGTGGTACGCAACAATAAAACATAAAAGTGCATTTGAAATAGTACAACATAATCGGAAAAATGACTTGCTAATTCAGAATGTTTTAAGCAGTTGCAGGCGGAATAAAAAAATAACTGAGAGACGCCTCAGCGTCAAAATCAAGAATGCCTGCCGGAAAAGTATTTCTATAGCAAGGGAGCAACAAAATTAAATACCTGGTATCTACTTGAAGCCAGTTTAGCTTCTGTGATATGGGGGAAATCTGGATGCTCTCAGGGACTGAGCTGTGATGTAAGCATTCAATTGGTCTTTAAGATATGTGGGACCCTAGTTCTTCAGGGCTTTATATACCAATCTGAGCCAGTAGCATATGGGAGCCGGTGCATATATTCTAGCAGAGATGTCTCATACTGTTGGTTGTCTGCCCCACCAGCAGTCAGTAGCTTGCTGAGACCCTCAAAGCCAGAACTATTCTATCATTTTCTGGCCAAATTCATACAGTCTCCTTTCCAAAAATCTTGGTCCCTACTCAGACTAAGACAGACAAGTTTCATAACTTCATCCTACCCTCTTGCTGAGTTGATCTTTCAAATGGCCAGTGATTTCCCGTAAATTAGCATTCATTCTTAATTGCACAGTCATAAAGTGTTAGAAGGAATTCAGGCATGGTAGCCCATAACAGTATTTTGAAATCTACGCAATCGCATAAATCAGGGTTGATATTGTTGCTATGCAGTGCCATTTGTGCCGTTTTCCTAGTGTGAGACTCGATTCCTATTCACTAGCTAAGTTTTTCTTCCAGCCAGGTGCAGGTTAACAAGAGCCTTGCCATTGTGAACACCTCTGAATCTTGAGATAGGGTAAGAAATTCTGATGTTTAAATATGTTAAGGTTGTGCTATTCATAGCTGTCAAGCGTCCCTTATTTGGCGGGACAGTCCCTTATCCCAGCGCCATGTCCCGCTGCTGTCCCTTATTGATGATGTCCCTTAAATAAGCTACTGAAAGTAATGGGACCCTTTCTGTGTCCAGCTGTCCTTTGTCAACAACAAATTGTTGCCTTTTTTGTGTGTGTTGAATATGTGTGATATGGTAATTTATGGACCTAATAGGTATCTAAAGCCATTTGCACGCAACAAAATATGCATTTTATCAAAGTAATTGTTGATCCCTTATTTTCGAGGCTGCTGGTCCCTTATTTTCAAATCTGTAAGTTGACAGCTATGGTGTTATTTTAATTCATTTAAAACATTTATATGCTGACTTTGAGAAAACCCTTCCAAGAAGGCTTACCCTAGAACATGGTTTTATTTTCTTGATTGCTCACTGATTTTACACTCCATGATATGTCTTCATGAGCAGGAGATTGCTGCTGTTTGCAGGCTTCTTTGGCTTTCCACGGGCTTCTGCCTGGCCACTGTGGGAACAGGATGCCCCTTAGTTCTCCAAGGGCATCGATATGATGACAAGGGAACCGTTATTAGAGTTAGTTGTAGGGCAATTACATTGATCTCCTTTCAGCACTAATCCGTGCGATGATGACAGGGATCCCCTCCAAAGTATCTGCAGAGGAGAACATGCTGCAAAAATGTTGATAGGCACCGACTGTTTGATATGGAAACTGTTAAGTTGTGGGTAGACATAGCAGACGACACAGCGATTCTTCAAACAGCTCTTGTTTATTCACAGGCCAAAACAGAACTGAACTGAAGGGTTCAGTCAGCCTGCTTATATAGAGCTCCAGTACAACGTAACCGTAACAATTTTCTAAAACTATCCAATCACTGAACGTCACTTTCAATCCCTTATTTACATAACTATCTACAGTATCCCCCTGCTGGCCCAGGGTGAGAACTTTAGTACATACCGTATTTTTTGCACCATAGGATGCACTTTTTCCCTCCTAAAAAGCAAGGGGAAATGTGTGTGCGTCCTTTGGAGCGAATGCAGGGGGGAGGCAGGCGGGAAAAGCCCCCAAGAGCCGCACACAAGCTCTGTGCGCTCTTGCGGGCTTTTCCACAGGAGGGAGAAGGGACTGACTGGCCACATCATTCCCTTCTCCCACCTCCCAGAAAAGCCAGGAGAAGCCGCGATCTCTTTAAAGGGGTTGCGCGGCTTCTGCGGGCTTTTGCGAGAGGTGAGGGAATTCCCCCACCTCCCAGGAAAGCCAGGAGAAGCCGTGCAGCCCTTTTAAAGTGCGCGCGGCTTCTGCCGGTTTTGCGGGAGGTGGGGGAATCCCCCCACCTCCCAGTAAAGCCAGGAAAGCCCTGCGCAGCGTCTCCCGGCAAGGAGAGGCAGCACGGGGCTAAAGGGGAAGCCAAAGCAGTGAGCGGGATCCATCCTGCTCGCTGCCTTGGCTTGTGCCATAGCCCCGCTCAACCCCTCCGGCAGGGAGAGGTTGTGCGCAGCCTGTACGCTGCTCTTTGGGGCTGGGGGGGGAATATTTTTTTTCTTGATTTCCCCCCCTAAAAACTGGGTGCGCCCTATGGTCTGGTGCGCCCTATGGTGCGAAAAATACGGTAACAGAAACAGATGATATTTAGGTAAACTGCTTCACATGGAGGCTCCCATTCAGCTGATAGCGAATAGTCGTTGATAGGATTTTCCTCTCAAATATTCTCTCTCCTACATGAATGAGTCTGATCTTTTTAAAAGAGTCACCTACATTAAGGATCCCTGCAGTGTGTCTTACGGCAGTGAATTCCACAACAATGGGTTGTTTGTAGCACTTTTGTCCTTCTTCAGCCTGTTGTCCATTAATTTCATCGGCCCTGCTTACAAATCATCTGAAGCCATAGTTAAACCATGGCATTTCAGTAGTATTTGTGTGCCATGGCTCACAGTAAATATTGCATCTGCAAAGTATGGACCAATGTTCATTTATTAACTAAATTTCATGCAAAGCAAAGAATAAAGCATAGCAGGAACATTTTGTGTACAATGCAAGGGCTGGGTGGGAGATTTGATAGTTTCTATTTGGAAAGAAGGTTTTTCTAAAAAAAGACTCTACCCAAATAAGTCATTGGACGTGTCTGGAAGCGTGCAGAGTGCTGTTTTCCTTTTGATAGCTGGGGCAGACTTTTTAGCAGTTACATTTGGAGACACATCATTCTGATATCCCCCATAAGTTTGCTCTTGCTCAGTACAAGAGTAAGAATTGTCTGCTTTTTTTGTATCCACCCAGTTCACTGATCTGAGCATTCCTCTTGGTTCGAAGGAGGTGATTCAAGCAGAGGTTACAAAATCCATTACTTTTGTAGCCTTTCCTGAAAATAGCAGCAGCTTCCTCTTAATGTGGGTCCTGCTGCATCTCTGCATTGGGAATAACTGAATCATCAATCAATCAATCAATCAATCAATCAATCAATCACACCTGATACAAGTGAATGATCACTCTCCAGAAGAGGTTGATTGGAAGGGGCCCAGTCCAGACAACAAATTATGCAAAAATTTGGTAGGATAAGAACCCCCCATGGATAAGAACCTTGGGTGTGTTTAATTATTTGTTTCTTGTGTTCAGTCAGTTTGAGAATTGTTCATGGAGAGAGGAGAGCGCTTCCTATCTCTCTGTGTGCATTTCTGCATTTTGTACCATTTCCTTTTTCAGGTTCATATCCGTTTCCCACCCAATATATGTTTGTTTAACTTTAATAAAATGTGTGTAAGCAAAGGTTTTAGATCCCCAGGGGTCTGGTTAGATATCACTACTTCCTAACATTCTCCCTTCCTTTTAATATCTCAAGCTCAGGATAATGATTTTCCAGATGCATCAGCTTTCAGTGTTTACGTTGACTCTCACTTAGTAGACTCTCACTTTATTTTCTGCCAAAGGCCGTAGCCTTTTCCAGGCTCTTAATATTGTCTCACTCTGGACCTACTGGCCTGTGCAGATGGTCCTTAATCAGTTGCCAACTTGCAGTTTGGACGTTCTGCTCCTAAAGGAAGCACAAGAAATGCCTGGTGCTAAATCAAAATGGCGATACTGCAACCAGTAAGTGGCTTTTCCGACAGGCTTTTTACTTTCCTTATTGCAATTTGCGTTTGATTGGAAAACACTGGCTTGTGTTAAACGATAAACCAAACTGGGGCTTACTGGGGCTGCACAAATGTGACAGCTCCTGCAGAGGAGGTTTCAGCTGTAGTGTGAGCAGGAACTAAAGTGATTTAGAAATGGTTGTATGGGGGGGGGGAGGGAGGGAGGAATCAGTTCTGGGTGTCACCAGCAGGGAAAGAAAGCTACGTTTGCTAGCAGCACACCGCTAAGTAAAGTTTGTTCCTTCTGATCCAGTCTCTGCGGCTTCTTTGTAATCTTGCAAATGCTACATGCAGCCGTCCAGTGAGCTCCCCTCCCCCTGGATGCTGCTCAGCAGATTGGTGGAAGAAGTCCAAAAGAGTGGACAACCTTTTCTTTCTGGCCCTAAGGGCACCATTGGCGCTGGACAGCTTCTACTGGATTTGGCTCCATGGAAGGCAGAAGACCGTTACATCTACAGCTGCCCTTCTGCTTCTGGCAGACTCTTCCTATCAGTAGCAGAGGTGCTGCAACAGAAGCAGCCTCACTCGGTTTTTGTACTACGCAACCAGTTCATAAACTTGTCTCTGCTCAAGCTAGGCAGCTTCCTTAGAGGTTGGGAATGGGGATGCAATGGCTGTTCTTCCATGGAGGCAGGGGATAGGCGGAAAGGGGGAATCTTCTCTTGCCATGTCCTTCTTCCTTCTTTCTACAAAGAAGTAAGTGTCCATACTAGTTGGAAAGTAGCAGTAAAATTTTAATAACTTAATTTATAGTAGAAAAGAGAAGGTTACTAACACACACATCCCCAAAAGTAGTGAAACAGCAATAGCAGCATTTTCTCTGTAATGGGGGGGCGGGGGGGCGGGACGATGACAACAAAGTATCCTCCCAATCTTTTGAGCCTGTGGTCAATCCAGCCAAGAGTGGAAAAGACTGACCTCTACTACTGGACTATTAAGCTCATCCCTAATTAGTTATTTACATTCACTTATCTGTGGAGCGCAAAGATTTGAGAGAGGCCACAGGCAGGGGTTGAAGCAGTAAAACTGACCCTGGACTTGACCGCATTGGGAAATGGTTCGCCACAGGGAAAAAGAAAAATTCCTGTACATAGAAAGCAACAGACTGCAGCTTGGGATAAGGAGAAACTTGGTCCACTTTGCATTTTACCTAATTCACGCTTCCTGAGGCAGACTGCAAACTGAAATGCAGCTGCCCTTCAAAATTTGCGCTTCTCCAAATTTTGTGACAGCCAAAAACTGCACAACAGCGTATATTTGGGGGGGAAAGCATTCATAAAAAGGGGAATTGTACACAAATGCCTTTTTTTAAGGACTTCTTTGTAAAAAAAAAGAAAAAAGCAATCTGATAAGTTTGATGTTGTATAGTTGAGGAACAGTTTTACTCCTACCAAAGCGTAGTCACCTGATCTTTTTCTACAACACTGACATAATTGTTGATATCTGATGGTTCCATGCCTTCTGTTGGACAAGCTTAGTTTGGTGGAGTACAGCAGCTAGACAATTTTCATTCTCCAGTTGATATCAGCCGTGCTAGAAGCTCTAACCACTCTTTCCTCCCACCTTTGTGAGATCTGGGTTACCATTTCACAAGCAGCTTGCTTCAGCAAGAGTGCCGGTCCTTCCGTTCTAGTGATCTACTGTTAGAAACCCCAATGTTTTCTCCACAGACTTCTGTTTTTACAGAACAGCAAGAAATTGTCATTTAAGTATTAAGGAAAACGTAGTCTAGACTTAGGTGAGCTCATTTCATAACAAAATATGGGAATGAGGAAAACACATTTCTTGACCATAAAAGGGCAGCCTGCAAGTTGACAGTCATTTCTCCCTCCCCCATCCAGAGCAGAAAGCTGCTACTAACTGGTCCAGAGATGCAAGTTGCAAAAAGCTAACACATTAAGGCTGAAATTCTCAACGCACTTGGTAGGGAATAAGTTCTATGGAGCGCTGTATGACTGACATCTGAATAAGTATACTTAAAATTGCACTGTTACTATATTGTACAGTTTTGTGGACCAGAGTCTACAACTAAAAGTAGTGATGCTACGAAAAACATGAGGGCAACTGTGGGCTAACAGGCTACTTCACCCCCCCTTTTTTTCTTTTGCTAGAAAGAAAAATGAGTTTTATATTTACAGAGCAAAAGTGCATAGTCAGGGTCTCTGCATTATTAAGGCATAACTAATACGGGATATGGCATCTTGAGATGTTCAGCTTAGAGCATCTGCTGTGTTGGAGGTGGTCAGTCTACTATTCTCTGACTTCTTTGCAAGATCCCAGCAACCAGCAGTCTCTAGCTGCTGGTCCACTGGTGTCCCACCAGTGGTTTTATCTTCTGCTCACTCCTGATATTGATATACTTAATGCGTTATATAATCACACATGATTTTCCCACTCCACTTCATTGGCTGCTATTTGCAGGAGTGAGAAACTTGCATGATGTTACAAAGGCAGAGTGGAAGAAGATGGTGTGAGATTCTTGTTTTTAATGGTAGTCGTAAGTCTGCTGTAATATTTGATTCCGACCGTACACTTAGTAATAAACACACACATCTTTGCTCTTCTCTGTGACCACCACGAGGGACACTGTGAATACACAGGCTTACGGATCGTGCATGGATTCAGTTTTGCCATGTAAAAATTCAGCTGGTATCAGTGGAATGTATGTGTGAATTAGAACCTTACAGCAAGAACTCCTGAGATCAGGGTGCAGGTCACATTTTTCTGAGAGTTTAAAAAATAGGAATGATATGCTTGCCATTCATGTCTACATGCATGTTCCAAATTCCATCCCTGGCCTCTCCAGTTAAATGAATCTCAGAGAGTAGGGATATGAGAGATTTCCATGTGAGATTCTGGAGAGCTCCTGCCATTCATAGCAGACAATATGATCTTATTCAGTACAGTATAAGGCAGATTCATAGATTTTTTTCCTAGCTCAATCAGAAAGCAGGCAAAAAGCCCAGTGTTAATTCCTGGCACCTCCAGCTATAGGGGTCCAGAACAGCTGGGCTGGAAAGGGTTACGGCCAGTCACAGTAGATAATATTGAGCGTAAAGAGCCAATGGTTTGTCTAAAGAAGCTTCATATGACCATATGAATTTGGGGGAAAGCTTGCATGAATTTATTGGCCGTTTGGTATTGCACACACAGTTTGTAAAACTTTCCACCTGCAAAATATTGAAAAGAAAATGATGGAAAGAAAAACAACCACCAACAACCAGTTGACTATGTAAGCTCATTTGTTTGTCTCCAAGTTGACTCTTGGTTGTTTTTTTTCCAGATCTTACACGTGAACAAGGTGATGTCCATCTTGTTTTATGTGATATTCCTTGCTTATCTCCGTGGCATCCAGTCTACCAACATGGACCAAGGGAGTTTACCAGAAGATTCAATAAATTCTCTCATTATAAAACTTATTCAAGCAGACATCTTAAGAAATAAGATCTCCAAGCAAATCACAGATATAAAGGATAGTGTTCAAGACACAATGAAGAAAACAGAGACTGCTGAGCCTGATATGGATGGCAATGAAAGTGTGAAACTGGATTTCCAACCGGTTATCTCAATGGATACAGAACTACTAAAACACCAGAAACGCTACAGCTCCCCCAGGGTCCTCCTGAGTGACAATACCCCATTGGAACCCCCACCATTATACCTTACGGAGGATTACATTGGCAGTTCTGTGGCGGCAAACCAAACGTCTCGGCAGAAGAGGTTTGCTGAAAACAAGAGTCATCGTGGGGAGTATTCCGTGTGTGACAGTGAGAGCCGATGGGTCACTGACAAATCTTCTGCTATTGACATTAGAGGACACCAGGTTACTGTGCTGGGAGAAATCAGAACAGGGCCTTCCCCAGTCAAGCAATATTTTTATGAAACAAAGTGTAAACAAGCCAAACCTGCCAAAAGTGGCTGCCGTGGTATAGATGATAAGCACTGGAACTCCCAGTGCAAAACATCCCAAACATTTGTACGAGCATTGACTTCAGAAAACAATAAACTTGTAGCCTGGCGATGGATAAGAATAGACACTTCTTGTGTGTGTGCATTATCCAGAAAAATTGGACGAACATAGGTCTGTGCCTCTCCGTCGTATAAATTATTATGTCTAAATTATATGATATGCATGTAGCATATAAATGTTTATATTGTTTTATATATTATAAGTTGTCCTTATTTATTAAATTCCAGAAAACTGCCATGTGTGTATGTATATGTGTATGTATATACATATATATACATATATATATGCATGCACATAAACAACACCAATTAAAAAACAGTAAAGTATGGATATCTACAATTGGCTACACCAGTTTTCATGACTGCTTGTGACTTCTGTTCCTCTTCAGCCTTCCATAAGTTGCCTGTAAAATCTTTGTGTAACATTGGTATTTTTTCGCCCAGAACTGTCAATCCACTGACTTTCATGGAGTAAACCTGTTAAAAGAAATTAGATCAAGTTGCCGAGACTTCTGTACATGCTTTTCCATTCCTTGATGATAAGATTAAATATATAGTGTTTAACTGTATCCCTTCCTCCCAAAAACAAAATTAATCAATGTAGGCTATAGCCAGCATTGACTAGTAATAATATTCATTTTCTGTATGTTCTTCCAGCTTAACCATTAGAGTTACCATTTATCCCCCCCCCCATCCTGTCCCTGTGTCACTGTTCCAGGCGCACTGCTAATAAGCCTGCAATTTAAGTTTAGGCTTGTTTTTCTTTTTTTTTAAAAAAATACATTTGTTTTGTAACTGTTTTTAGTGCTGCCAATTTGTCTTTTAGAAGGCTAGGAGAAATATCTAAAATATTTGTCCTAGAAACTTACCAAAGCCAAGAAACAATCCAAGTGGATCATTAATATAATATATAAAAGATGGGATTCCTCAAAATGAGCACTTTAAAAAAAATGTGAGCAGCCTTCTTCCGTTTGGAATAAGCTGTTTTACTCCTGATGTTTCATTGCATTTATGTGTTTATTGGTACAGTAGGGGAAAATCCGGTTCAGATTTTAGTTGCTACAGTGTTCAGATATAGAAGACGATATATTTCTGGAATAGGCATCAAAGCCAGATCCGCTCAAAGCTGCTGAAATGGTTTTGGAGAACTTTTAATGGAAAAAGACATACTGAAAATTGAGCAAAACCCCTTTTGTGTGGATCTGAGCACTCGTAAGTCTTCCAAGTCTCAATGCAGTCCACCTTCAATTTTGCATAGCTGGTCATATGGAATAGCTAGTTGATCAATCCCGATTCTGTCTGTCGATCTTTCTTTCTGGATTAGCGTGCAGATGTGTCTGAACATGTTTGTTTGCAACACAGCTCCCACACTTCCTTTCACCCCCCTTCCAGCCCTTCCTGGGTTTTCATGTTTGTTTTCATTGTAACTATATTGGTTTAATAGCAATTCAGCAATAAGAAAGAAGGACTGTGAATGAAGAAACAGGTGCCTGTAGCTAGTCATTTCTATTTTATCCCTTAGTTACACATAGATTTCTATATCATTAAGGGGAAAAAACTCTCACGTTTTTCTGCACTCGGGTCAGATTCCCAGTTCTGCACACACCCTAAGAGGAGTTGCTCTTTCATTTTGAAATCTGTCTCTAGATTCTCCTTCTGTTCCATCAGAATTCAGTGGCAAAATGTGTTTTACTGTTTTAGTCTGGAAACAGGACCAATGAAGAGATCCAGCGATGCTACCTTACATAACCTTCTGTCCTTGCCCGTCATTATGTTCCTGAGAAAGAACATCTGAATGTTCATCTACTTCTAAGGAGGAGCTGCAGAGGCTGGGAAAATGGTTTAATTCAGTTTACAAACTAAAAGAAAAACTGCTATGTAGTTTGGAAACTTGTTTGTTCACTATGCAGTTGGGCATAACCAAAGACATCATAACCAAATTTCGCATGGTGGTTCCTGAGGTCAAGGAGCAGGCTTTCATCTATGCTTGGATACAACCAGATGTCATTTTGAATCAATATGGGGTACTGAGCCTTTAAAAACTGCACTGATTTAACCATTATTTTCAAAACTGCACTGATTTTGTTTGTTAGAATTCCCAAGCAATGCAGGGCTCGAGGCTGCTAATATTACGTGATTTAGTAATTGTCAAGATAGGGATGCGGGTGGCGCTGTGGGTTAAACCACAGAGCCTAGGGCTTGCCGATCAGAAGGTCGGCGGTTCGAATTCCTGCGACGGGGTGAGCTCCCGTTGCTCGGTCCCTGCTCCTGCCAACCTAGCAGTTCAAAAGCATGCTCAAAAGTGCAAGTAGATGAATAGGTACCGCTCCGTCGGGAAGGTAAACGGCGTTTCCGTGCGCTGCTCCGGTTCGCCAGAAATGTCTCAGTCATGCTGGCCACATGACCCGGAAGCTGTACACCGGCTCCCTTGGCCAGTAAAGCGAGATGAGTGCCACAACCCCAGAGTCGTCTGCGACTGGACCTAATGGTCAGGGGTCCCTTTACCTTTACCTTTAATTGTCAAGTATTTGTAGATGGTTCGATAAAAGACAAACATCCCCAAAGGGAAGGCAAACAGAAGAGCTAAGAGACAAGCTGACACATAATATTTAATGCTACTTAAGGACTGATGTATGGGACGCAGGTAGCGCTGTGGTCTAAACCACAGAGCCTAGGGCTTGCTGATCAGAAGGCCGGCGGTTTGAATCCCCTCGACGGGGTGAGCTCCTGTTGCTCGGTCCCAGGTCCTGCCCACCTAGCAGTTCGAAAGCACGTCAAAGTGCAAGTACAGTGGTGCCTTGGGTTACAGACGCTTCAGGTTACAGACTCCGCTAACCCAGAAATAGTACCTTGGGTTAAGAACTTTGCTTCAGGACGAGAACAGAATTCGTGTGGTGGTGGCGCGGCAGCAGTGGGAGGCCCCATTAGCTAAAGTGGTGCTTCAGGTTAAGAACAGTTTCAGGTTAAGAATGGACCTCCAGAACGAATTAAGTTCTTAACCCGAGGTACCACTGTAGATAAATAGGTACCGCTCCGGCGGGAAGGTAAATGGTGTTTCCGTTTGCTGCTCTGGTTTCACCAGAAGCGGCTTAGCCATGCTGGGCACATGACCCGGAAAAACTGCGGACAAACGTCGGCTCCCTCGGCCAGTAAAGCGAGATGAGCGCCACAACCCCAGAGTCGTCTGTGACTGGACTTAACTGTCAGGGGTCCTTTACCTTTTTAAGGATTGATGTAAACTCACATTCCTTAATTTTAACCATGATTGCATGTTTGTGTTCAGTATGCAATCTGAAGTTCACATCTCTGGTATTCTACCATACTCATTATTGGCTAAAGTTGCAGTAAAGCAAAAGGTGAACTACTAGGCATAACAAATCAATCAGGAAAACATATGTGAAGGACAAAATGTTCTTAGTTCTAGCATTTTGCATTGAATAGCCCCAAAATATTAATTCACAATAGCCAATTGGTATGGAATGTAGCTCTGAAGTACTGCGAAACGAAGCAGCCAAGGTGCGTAACAGTTCATCCAGGGAGAAGCCAACAGGTAAGTAAGTTGAATTTTCAAACAACGCCACAGAAAATTTCAGTAACCCATAATACTCACTTCAAATGCTGTTTTAACGCATCAACAACCACCACCACCACCTTCTCTTGTAGCTTTCTAGTGCTGGAAGAAATGGACCACTCAACTACATTGCGTGCTTAAAATCTTTAGAATCTAGTGCTCTTTGGGATCATTCTTCATATTAAATTCACATATTCAAATCAATGGCTGGGTTTTTTTTCCCTTGTGGGGGTCATACCTTGAATTCTATAGCATACACCTTCCTTAGAAATTAACACTTCAAGCTAACCCAGAAGGAGAATGTATGCTGGTCATTCCTTCAACATACTCCTCATATCCTATATATTTATTAACTGTTTCATTATTTTCTGTGGGATAACCTTGGTTCTTTATGTGAAATTTTCCAAGAGGAACTTGGTAGAGTTTCTGATATGCAAAGGATCCTTTCAGACAACAGACCTGCTGGAACAGACCAAAGCTTTATATCAGGCATAGGCAAACTTCTGCCCCCCAGATGTTTGGGACTACAATTCCCATCATCCCTAGCTAACAGGACCAGTGGCCAGGGATGATGGGAATTGTAGTCCCAAACATCTGGAGGGCCGGAGTTTGCCTATGCCTGCTCTATATAGTCTAGCATTTTCTCGCATTGTCACCATCTGGCTAGATGTCTATAGGAAGCTCACAGGAGATATTCAAAGGCTGGGTGCCTCTGATCTTGGAGGTAGCATATAGCCATCATGGTGAGTAGATATTGATACTGGCTGTTTTGGGTCTGTGGACCGCATTAGAGCTATGTGTGTGTGATATTGATACTCTTTATCTTCCATTAATTTATCTAACAGGTCTGTAGATAAATGTTTCCTTTGTGCTCACCTGTGCTTCCTAGAGGCATCTTGCCAGACATCGCTGAAACGGGACACTGAGCTAATTGGACTATTGGTCTGATCCAGCAAGACTCTTCTGTTGTGCGCAGCCAGGTGGAGGCTAGTTGATTTGAACAAGTACAAAAAGTAAGCTGCTTTTTTCAATCAGCTAACAATTCTGAAATTGCACCTATGGCATCACCAAGTCGTACATATTGCTGACGAAGAACTCATGGGTTGCTGCAGACAATAAGGCTAAGCAACAGTATAAACAAAGGAGGTAAGCTGAGGGATGGTAAGAAGGAAGATGGGACTGAGGAGCAACAGGACTTGAGAAATAACACAAATGCCCCAATTCACCATAGGCAGGAGACACTTCTCGACACAGGAAATTGGTTTTATTTGAAATTCCATTTATATCTTGACCTTTCAGTCCTGTTATTTATATCGTGACCTTTCAGCAAATGTATTTTTTAATGATAGCCCGAAATATATAGAACCATCCGTTTTATTTATTAGAAACATTTTGGAGCAAAATAAAATCAATGGGATCCTGTGTTCTTTCTGCGCACTTTGCAAATGCAATTCATCACGGATGTGGCAGGGAGAGCGAAAGAGCACGGGAATCGGTCCTTGAGCCTGAGAAATGAGGAGGAAAGGGTAAAGAGCTAGTTGTGAGGGAATTTGTTTTCTGAAATACTTTGCCTGTATTTGGTTAATGCGGATGGCAGGAGGTTGAAGGAAGCCCAGATGCCTGTACAATAGTAAACAAACACAAGGGTTTCCAAAAAGTCTTCTGAGAACTGGGCATTCTATAAGCCTGGGGTTCTGAGCCTTGTATTCTTAAACAGTTAATCCCTTTTAAGCAGAGCTGTAACCATGAATCATCTTAATTGGAAGATTAATCAACTGCAGCTGTGGGGAGGACCATCATCTTCTAATTCCTTCAGTATCTACAAAAGGCGCCACATCTTTGACAGCCACTCTGAACAGGCCAGCTACGCAAGTGGAGAAGGGCCAGCACAAGGCTAATCTGAATTCTCTTTCCTCTTGGCACCAACATGGAATGGTTAATGCAAGTTCAGTCATTGCTCCCTTTGTCAGGGCTGTGGCCTCAGAGTCATGTCATAGTGGGACAGCTTAGTCCGTAGAGCATGAGACTCTTAATCTCCGGATTTGAGCCCCATGTTGCGTGAAATATTCCTGCATTGTAGGGTAAGGTTACCAGATTTTTTTTCAAAGAATCCGGGGACACTTTTCTTTTTTAA